GTTAGTATACAAACGTTGATAGATTGTTCTGTTCATTTGTTAAATATATTACTTAATCAAAAGCTGAATCACTAATAAAAAAACTAATGTATAGAGTTCCATGGATTGTTAAAGTTAAAGAGTGGAATCAAGCAGAGTATTTGTTTTATCGAAGTAAGTTCAAAAAACAAATTCAACGAAAAATATTTTTACAGAACCAAAAATTTCAAACGTTTACTATGTTTCCGACGTTAAATCTGCTCACCGCATGTCAACGTAGACGACATGGTTAATAAGATTTCCTTTGGGAACATATATCAAGATGAGACTGCATGCTTCTACCACGTCAATCTCTCTCCTGTCAATCGTAAATAAATACATAATCTTCATTCCCGACGCGCTGAGGAATTATGATCGTAAATTTAGATAGCTGATTCATCAAATTCTCCTATAAATTAAATCAAGCTTGACAGCAAATAGTAATGTAATTGTATCAGATATTGCCATGTTTGTACGTCTTATGAGATATTATTTGGTAATTTTTTAAGGAAAGAATCTTATGAGTCTATTCAACGGTATAAAACTGGTAATTTATCTATAATAACAATAAGTTTCAATGTTAAAAGTAAAAGTTTTGTGGTTAATGGAAAATAATTTTTTAATCAATGGAAATCTCATATCACTTTGTTTGTGTTATAAAGAAAAGCAGAACAGACAGAAATTTTAAAAGCAATATTAAAAGATAAAAAAATATTTGGCTTTAACTGATTCCCGTTTTGGGTCGGTATCAAATCGAAGGCGGCCTCAATTATAAATAAGCGCATATACGTTTCGATCGCACTCTCGAGTCGTGTAGCACGTACAAATGAAAGATCGGAATTAGCTTGAAGATTTGTCGAAAGTGGACCCACACTCTCGATAGCGTTGGTGGTGACGGAGGTCTGCATTAGCAAAAAGATCGGTTGTTGCTCTCAATAATTTGGAAGTCTAATGCTTGGCACGGAAATCGACGCGTGAATGAAAAGCGGGGTGAGAGAGAGAGAGGAAGAGAGAGACAAATTGATAGTTGCACGCGCGCAAGCGAGAAATCTCACCGCCAAAGAGAAGAGCAGCCGTCGAAGAAATAGAGAGAGAGAGGTCTTGTGACGACGACGTTCCTTCGAAAGGCCTTGAATAATGCAAGCAGGAGCGTAAGGCTCCTACTTAAGAATTCGATCGCTTTTTCTTTGATGGAAAACCGGAGCCGATGAGTGTGACGTTGCGCCGAGCCCTAACGGTAAAGTGCTTGATGCGGCACCACTAAAAAAAAGAGAAAATGAGGAGGAAATGAGAAAAAAAAAGTTGATTGCCATTCTTAACAGTAGAGATTTTTATTCTGATAGAAGAAAGATACACTTTGCTATAAGATTTTGTAAACAATGAGCTTCTTATACCTTTATCAACCTATTTTATAACAACAATTCCAAATAGTACAAGAAAAATTCTACATTCTCTTTTACTTGATATTTCAGCTGAAAAGTATTTACATGTTCAAGTACGTGCTTGAGATTTGAGCATTTTTCACGACAATTTATGAAAACAATATCGTAAAAGGGTAGTCGCACGTTTATAAATGGAAGTTTGCATTCTAACACAAACCACTTTTTGACGTGGCTACATTGTAAAAGCTCATTGTATAAAATGAATGCAGGACACGGTCCTTTGATCTATACTTGGTCTCTATTCTCAGAGAATGGGAATTAATAAGCTCTCTATCGTCAATAAAGTAAACGACATACACACACGGAAACATTTATATAATAGTAGCACGTAGCCGCTAGAATAATAGAGTTCGCAAGTTGAAATTCGCTCACGCGTGCGCACAAAAAGAATCAAATACGAAAGAAAATAATATGCAGCTAATAAAAAATCTACAGGCAGGCTTCTTCTTCTTCTTCTTTCTTCGTGCAGTGATAGTCGCAAGTCTATATTCTCCAGCATAGAAATTCAATATATATTCGTGTCTGAAACTTGTGGCGTGCATGCCGCTGACGCTTACCGCAGGGGACTACGTGTCAAACGTTCGGCGTCTGACAGTTTTTTGAAAAAAAGGAGAGTGAGCACACCCCCTCCAACGTAATTTCAGAAAAGAAATTTTTGCTTTGACTTCGAACGAGAAAAAAGACGCTTTACATTTTTTCCCAGTAAAATTCCGCTTGGCAAATTCTTGTTTGCTAAAGTTAACGTTGTAACTGCCAAGAACAGAACCTCAAACATGTTGTGACGTGGCAAGCTTGCAAAGCGAACGTACGCAACGTCATTTTGCACGTTTATGATGTAGCTTCGAGGCGTTTGCTGTGAAATATGCTTGAAGCTTTTAGCGTGCACTCTTTTATAGTATCAAATCGAACCCTAAGCTGTAATTATCATGTCTTTGATAGTTCTTTTTACTATCAAACTGAAAAGTAAAAGAATCGACCAGACTACAAGACTACAATTTAATTTTCCGTCGACAACGTATCCAAGGGGCTTTCTCTCTTCTCTTGAACGTGATCGACTGAAGTATTTGGCCACCATCAAGGCGTGTACGGGGTCGTCCAAGATGTTGGGAGTGCACGTAAATAAATCCCGCGCCACACAATGCGGCGTCGCGCGCCATTGTACTATCGACGGGCTCATCGAGACACACGATGACGACGACGAAGACTCGAGGTAGTCTCTAATACAAAATGAATCTCTGCGAGCGTCGTTACAGCCACCGAAAAGAGAGCGAGAGAGAATAGTCGAGAGCGCGAGCGCGTGAAAGCGGCCGGGAAATTGCCAAGGAAGCGCGTTTGAATAATGCAGACTTACAAGCGCGCGAGCAGCGGCTTAAAACCGATCGCTCGCTCTCACGAATGCTCTTTCCTTTACTCACTCACCACCAAAGTGCAACTAAGATTGATTTTAAATTGGCTATACGAATTGCAACGCCTTGTTGATGTATGTATGCTTCCCCTATCGCACAGATTGGCTAATACAATTTCAAACGCGCCAGGTGGAACTAACCGAAATATAACTTACTCCTTGCGTTTAGTTGTAATACTTTAGGAAATTTGAAAAACAATCAACGTAACAGTGTACTCAACATATATTTTATATACACATTACTGCGTTAGCTCAAATCTAAAATTGTATACGTCAAAAACTTATTAGAGTCTGAAACAAACTTTTAACGTTTAATCGTCAATTTTTTTTAAATCGAATCGATTGTAATATCCATGCACGAGCAATAGTAAACAATGCTAACGCATTTGCCGTATACCGTGTGTGTGAGAGAGAGTAGGAGCAACCCGCGAGGCAATTGAAGTTTGAATAGAGAATCTGAAGCGTAAAAAATTGAAAAAGCCTTTGACCCGTCAAATAAAGTCGATCGAACACGTTCACGTTCGTTTTTTTTTTAGAAAAGCTCCGAGATTCTCCGATAGATATATCGCGGAAACAGTTTTGCTTTCTCACGGAATGCGATTGGAATGAGACACCAACGTGCAAAATCATAACTCGTCGGGTGCAATGTGCACGTATTCATCAAACTCACGTGACATCACTATAGAATACATACACGACCAGGAAGTTATTTCGTATCCTCGTGACGTCCTTGATCTTACACTGCTATAGATTTAAGTATTTTACAATCGATATGCAGTTAATTATTATTTATATTGCATGATTTAATCTTTTGATAAATTTTGACAAAAATCAGATAATAAAATGTTTCATAAAAATGATTCCTTACTTACGTCGCATTTTTTATTTTTTGATCGTAGTATTCTAAATAAGACAAGTCCAGTGAACATTTCTTATTTTAGACGAATTCTCTACTTTATTAAAATATTGTTTGAAATAAGCATATTAATTTCTGCTTTTCTTTTTTTTCTGAGAAAAAATAATGCAATGACCCGTCCATTCAATTAACAGTTTTCCAGACGTTTTTTAACTGAATTTGACGTACTATACATACATATGTATTCCTCTTAAATGAAGTTTGTAACAAAATGACGACTCTGTGAATAATTAATCTTCTTCTCTTTCCAAGACGTTTAAAGCAGAGTTTCTATAAATGCAAATTTCCGGGAATATATGGATGGGAAAAAACTGAAAAACGGCAAATAAAAGCTTGAGATAAATTTATGATGTGATTCATTAATACGCCAATATTGTCAGTGAGTCAGTTTCAGCAAAAATTGGCGAATCGTTATTCGCAATGTCGAACCTACGTCACACACATAAAAGTCTCATTCCCTTCTCTCCGTGGAAAATACATTGCCATTCGTCTCGCAGCTACACAGTACGTGCACGTGAAGATAGCTCCGCCGTCGCATGAAATATCCAAAAAGCCTGAACCTCGCACAAAGCCGGCAGGTCGAAGTGGTGGCCTATTGAAAAATGTACGCGTGTACCGATTGACGCGACGACGACATAGCGCGAATAGAATTTTCATGAAATATCAGTTATTAATTGCGCTTGTACAGGATTACCGTAAAAATGATTTAACACACTGTGATGGCTAGAAATATCGTCGCCTAATGAGAATTGTTACTATTCTCGTGAGACAAATTAGACAAATTGAGACAGCTTCTTTTGCTAAAGCTCTGCCAGCTCGCCATTAAGGCATATTGCGCCAAATCCAATTTCACTAAAACCATCCTGGGTAAGAAGTTCTCTTCTACCTCCCTAATGGAAAACAATGTTTTCAACGTTATTCAAAATAAAAATAACTACAACGCTACGTGATATAGCGTTATTGTAAAAGCAGTAAAAAGCCCGTAAAATATTTCAACAAAAGACGTCTACCTGGAGTGTATACGCAAACAGCTGCATGTACAACATAATCTTCTCTTGTTTACTATATAAAATCATAATGTATATTCTAAAATGATGTCTACGTAAAAGCTTCGTGTATGCACTCGCGTGCAATATTATGGTCAATTGCTCCTTTTCCTACAATACAACGTCTGAAACCTCTAGTGACTGAAGTTTTTTTTTCTATCCTTTTGTTACAGGGAATCTCATGGGGAGAATGGACAGCTTGTTCGAGGTAAGCAACTTTGTTATATTTCAATACATGCTGTCTCTACGTATAACAAATTGCTTTGTAAAATTAATGAAGCGAGAGCGACAAAATTGTTAGCGTATTAATACAGTATCAGCTGTAACGGGCTTGAACTTATTTGCAAGCTCCGCGTTGCAAGGCATCCTGGGAAAGCGACTTATTTAGGAATTATGATTAATATTCATCGGCTTGGAAAGCCGCAGTTCCGTACTACGATGAAAGCAGAGCAGAAGTAGTAGAAAGAGGAGAGCAGTGGTAGCTGGCGAAAGTGTCGAGAAAATTAGCCTCGCTCCATTGTCCCAATCAATTAAAAGTCTTGTTTCGCTAGCGAGCTTGCGCTTAATTTCCTGCGACTCTTGGCGCCGCCGCAGCACGCCACTTGGTTACCTAGCACGTACTTTCTCCCCCTTTTCTTCTTTCCTCTGCGTTTTCTTTTTCTCCCCTTTGGCCTGCACGATTCTTGGCTTGGGATTCTCGCGCGCGACAAGTTCGCCTACGGTGGAGCGTTTTCCCAAGGAGCCCGCGGAAACAGGCTGTTCGTCGTGTGCCTCCCGGGCGAGGCGCCGGATAATTTATGAGCTTTATAAGTTCGGACTCTAACAGCTCGGAAACGCCTATTTTACGATCTTTACGGCGGGCGTCTTAGATCTCCATCGATCTCCGCAAGCTTGCCATCTCAACCTTTACTTTCCTTTCTTTCCTACATTTTCTACGAGTTTTTTCATCCATAAAGATTATATATTCCTCGCAAAAGCAAGCGCAAGCGAGCTTCAAGGTTCATTATCCTTATTTTTTAACTTTTGCATATTTTCAATATCGGCTTGGAAATCGCTCGCCACTTGTCATAATCAACATACTATCGGAATGGAAATTGTTCTGTTAAACAGGAGCTGCGGGGGTGGTATATCCAAACAGCAGAAACGATGCCGCAGGAAGCCATGCAAAGGCAGACCTTGGAACATCAAATACAAAGTTTGCAATGTGCAGGTATGACAATAAATATTTTGTATATTTTTTGGAATTTACGCGTGATGCAGATGCATCGTGTCACCGAAGAACAATAGTGCCGTTGCGAATACAAACTATAGTTGTTGTGTAGCTTGTAACGCTTGGGTAAATAATACAACTTTTTTTTTCATCTTACCATCTGTTATCTCGCTCACGGTTATATCTCTTGTTTTCTTATTGATCAATCAAAGTATATTTGTAGATTGTATAAGCTAACTCGTGTGGAATTCAAGCGCTGCATAATATAGCACGTATTTCCAATTCGTTCAATTAACGTTCTGTTTTTTTGCTAATTGATGATTAATCTATCTATAGATTTTCAATATTGTGTTCGCCCATCTGTAATAATAATCTAATTAAATCTTCTCAGCAACAGATAATAGATTCCAAATTACTGGCTTTATGCGAAATTAATATTTGAGCGTACGATGAAAACATTTATGGGTAGCGTGTTCTTATAACGGAAAAGCTAATAACAAGACCAGCAAACGGAGATGAAAATCGTCGTGTGTAGGCCTGTATAAGCTGCCAGTAGCCGAGGCCCATATATGTAACCCGCATCAAGCGGTCGTGCGAGCAGTCGTCTTATCTGGACCGCAGTTAAAGCAGCAACAGCAGCGGCGGTGACACAACGCGCGCCTATCCACAGTTGGTTGTCCCGCTATCGTCGCGCGCTAAGCTTTACGCTCGGCTCGTTGCTTATCCCCTCGGCGAGCCCTTGCCCTGCCCCTCTCTACAGTACGTACACATATACGGAGATCGCTCTTGGGACGAGCGCCTGTGCAGGCGCACACTGACCCGACCCACATTTTGATCGAGCTCGAGGATGAAAAATCCTGTACGTTTGCATGTATACGTTGCGCGATTCTGACGCAGAGCCAGCCAGAATCTCCGTTCACGGCGACAACGGCGTTTTGACCTCGTTCGACTATCTGCCAATTGGATTTGTAGAGTTTGCCTTAGGAATGCGCGCTGTCTTCTCCTACTCCTGCTCGCGGAGGACGATGTCGGGATTCGCGATGCAGACAAGGACCGAGCTTTTAAAAGCTACGGCATGAGCCAACTGCATCGTATATGGCCTCAAGCGCTTTCTATTTGGCCTATCACTGCAGCTTTTTGCCTGATTAATATTCTTTCCCCGAATATTATCGCTCTACTCTTGAATGTTCATTTATGCTTGCTTGTAAACACATACGCTAATGCAAGATGATACTGTGACACTTTTAATAAACAGAAGATTAATGAAGTATGGCCGAGAGATGCATATATAATGAGATATACATGTTGATGCCTACACACCTGCAGTATACGAGCGCCAATGGAAAATTCTCTCTGCTAATAATGTGTGCATCTCTCTTTTCTCGCTTCATCATTGAGAGTCTCGAGGGAGGGGAAAGGGGCGAAGGTTGGATCTTCATGCAGTAGCAAAAGTAGTAGGAAGTAAAAGAGGACAAATAGAAAGAAGATGCGGCACGCTTTCGAGTCGCGATGTAGCGTAGAAACAGTCCCACAGCAGTGTTTTTCACGACTCTCTTTTGCCTCGTGTTTACTCGACGCCCTTTTTTCACTCGGCTGTCCCACAGGGCCGAAATGCGCTCAGAGTCCTGCTCTGTCTCTCTGCGCATTCGTTTATTCATAACGTCCGAAAATGCTCGAATTCTAGTGCCTTTTTCATACTTGCTTTTTGCTGCAAATCAATTTTTTACCAGATACAGATTCAACACTACGTTAATCGTGATATGCATTTTTTTTATCTCTTTTATTTCTCCTTTTATTTCTTCTTTTATTTCTTCTTTTATTTCTATTTTGATTACCCAGCCCAGAGCTTGCGTTGAATTTTATTCAGTTTTCGACGACAATTTGCTTTCAGTCTAGGATCTTTTAGTTTTACTCGTACTTTATTTAATAACTTGAAGACTTTTACATATCATAGCATGGGATTTTGGTAAAAAGAGGGATTTCGATTTGCGAACATTAATTATGTGTAACAAGAGGATTAATCTTTAGTAATTAGGATTTTGTCATTGATAGACAACTGAAATAATGAAAATAACATTGTTTCTGTACGTTGTTATAATGATGTTCGAAATTAAAAATCGACTTTGAAAAAACTCAAAATCACTCGAAATCCAGGGAGTTATTTTACATATACAGTTTTCCGCTGTTAAGTTGATTCAAGCAACAGTCACTGAAAGTCCTTCACTTTCCGAATGAAACATCGAAATCCGACGTGATTTCGTTTAAAAAGTCCGTACACCCGTCTCACAAAAGCTTCATCGATCTTAAGATGCTAGTGGATTCTTTGCAATTACCCCAAGCGCATGGGCTTTTTACAGCTCGTCACTTTTAATCGAGCTATCCGATTGGACAACGGCCGCCAAGAGCTGATTGACACACGAAGCCGCCGCAGCACGGTAAAAGCCCTAGTCGCACGCAACCTCTCATCTTGTCGACGCGGCGCGTCAACCTGACAATCATTCCAACTCACGTCTGTATGTGCGTGAGCGCGTATGCGACCATAAAATCCGATCTCTTTTTTCATGCGACTATCCCATTGCTTCGTCTACGCGTCTCTTTCACTCTCAATTTCTTTTATCTTTTGCTGGTCTATCGAGCGTTCAAGCTTTTGAGCTAAAGAATCGAGAGAAAGCTTTTATGTATATGATATCAACTACTTGAACAAAACAAGCTTATTTTCGATAGCAACTAAATGCACTCCACTTTCCGATACCTGTGTATTTTCTGTAAAAAAGCCGCATGACTAATTTAGTGTTGTAAATAAACAAGAACTTTAATATAATTCGACGTTAGAAATAATATGGTCATCGAATCCTTTCAACAATGATTCAAAAGATTTAGATCTGACCCTTAAATTCCAAACACAGAAAATAAGACCTGCATAGTATTAGTATTATTTAATTAAACGTAACGATTTTATAAAAAAACTATTGTTATTAGATTGATCTTTCTCTTATGTTTTCCTGCTATTTATTAAATTATTTGAACCATTTACATGCCAACTTGGAGATTCTAATGGGTACGAATAAGTCATGCTATTTAAAATAGAATAACTACATCAATATGTCAAATAAATAAAAATAGAACTGATGAATTTTTACTCATTTCAAAATAAATTATCCAAAAGATTAATTGAACCTACGGTAGATAAAGCTATTATATTATTATACTACATTAAACTTTACATACCCAATAGTATATATGTATATATATCTATGATGATGGCACCAATCGTATATTAGTATGAGTAATACGTTAAACACCTTGTGCTTTTTGTTGCCTCTACGAGAACACCCATGAATACTTATCAAATTTAACGGGGTTAATATTCTGATAATTACTTTCCGTTGCTCGCACACTTCTTAATTTACAATGTATGAAAGATAAGAATATGTGCTCCTCTATTTTATTTTATTCATTTTCTTTCTCTTTTCTATAAAATTCATTTCAGTATTACAGGTGGTTATAAAATTAACGATTTGTAATGATTACTTCAAAACTTCGTTTGATGTTTTCAAAATGATTTATTAACGGTACATTTCAACTTTTGCATATTATTATCCATCTTAATTATTCATACATTGAATTTACTACTAAAATATAAATCTCACACTCTTTATTATAATAAAAATATTATAATAAAAATATTTCAAAGTATACGAAAATTTCGCGTTTTTTTTATCATCAACCTATCACAACGCTGGATGTCGGCGACTTATCATTTTTTAAAGATAGGATTACATTACGCAAACAGTATGTTCACACTGGTGAAGCGATAGTTTGTTTTTATTTTTCGCGCAACACGTGACTTTGCTTTTGAGCACGTAGTTTGAAGTGCACAAGCAAAGCTATTTGGCGTGAACGCATATAGTTCACAACGACGGCGGGGTAGTCATCGTCAACAAACCCATCATAGTATGTTTTTATGGAATATTTAAAGGGCTTTTTAATAGTAGTCTAAAAGCTAAGTTGAAAAACTGAATTACATGGAATCCAAATCTCTCAAACGAATATTCTGCGTTTTTTATTCTCCGGCAGCATGATTAGTAATGAGCGTTCGGATGTCGTTTCGACTACTTTAACGATTCTGCAAAAAATGCTCATGAATGCGAGCAAAGTATGATCTTACCTGCTGCTATAGAGCATTATGAAAGATAGCAATTAGAGAGGAATTATAGTTTAAAAAAATCTAATAAAGAAGGGAGATAGTAACTTCGTCAGAGAAGTATGAATATTATGTATTAAATGGCTACCACGCAGATGCTTGGATCACTAGTCGAAGCTAAAACTCAATCCACTCAAACATGTTTCGGAAGTTAAGCCAAAGTAAATGGGCTCCGACTAGTTGGCTCCGAAGTAAGTATTTATATTGCAGGATGGATTTCGCAAAAGCACGTGGACCTCCTAAATCTATCCCTTTGGAAAAACTCGACGTTTAGATTGAAAAATCAGCTAACGAATGAAAGGAGCTACACAAAGTTAGCGTGGGTAATATTTGACTTGTGAAATTCGGTAAATTGACATTTTGGTGCAACTGAGGCTGCTGCGTATGTGAGAAAATCGGTTAGAGAAGCTCAATTTTGCGTGGCGCAGTAATGAAAGGAAAACAAAAATCGCTGACACATCTGGGGATTCGTTTAGCGGAATGGAGCCGATGAAACAATCGGGCTGGCGCCTGGGGAGGTGAGTTTGCGAGCCAACATAACGCGCACCAGCCAACAGAAAGCTAACGCTGGGATTTGCCAAGGGTCAGTAGCCAACTGAATAGCCTGCAACCATCTCTCCCTCTCTTTCCCCTTTCATTCGTAAACGAAAACCAGGTCGAATTTCGCACGACTACTACATGTTTTCCTATAAGCGTTAACGCTCCGTTGAGTATGCGAAAAACCACCTATTCACCGACTCACCCTTCTCGCAAGCCAATGGGCTAAATGCGCTACACGAAAGGAGCGGTATACGGTGCATAATCGCAACAAGCTCTCTTCAGTTGGCTTTCATCGAACTTAACGATTGGTTTTACTCGGCTATGGATATTTCGGAAAATCATTCTCTCCGCTAATGTGGGCTTTATTCTTACAATTCCGATACACCCTTCTCCATTCTTTCATTCTCATCGTTCTGCTTCAATTTACCTTTTTCAAAAATTTTTTGTTTTGTAAACGATATGGCTATAGCACGTCCGATTAAACGTAGTGAATTCTACTCGTGTGCTCCTCTTTTTTGTGGCCAACTCATTTCCTTTTCCCGCAACTGCAATTTTACTTTTTGTTGATTTGCATTTACTCGTAATTGGTTGTATTGTTTATATAACAGCGCTTTTGGAGTTTGAAAACCAGATTAAACGGAAATTGTTTGCTTTGACCGTATACGTTACCGCAGGCAGCGCATAATTGTCTAGTAGCTTTCTGTATGCTGTTTTGTTTTGTTGAAATTATAAGAAATCATTTTTTTCGGAAAGCGATGCACTCGTTTGATAATTATTTCTTCTTTGGAATATCCCACAAAGCTAACTGAAGGTTGACTGACACATACTTATTACAGTGTATTTGTTACAAAGAAAATAAGGCTCAAAGAAGAACAACGTGGCAGTCATTACATTAAATAAGAGTGATAGCAGCAAGAGGGTGAGTGAGAAAGAAGGGAAGGGGGGTGGTATCAAGAGCCCACGAGAAATCAACTAAAGCAAACGTCGCATGACCTGGTCGAAGCACAAAGGAACACGTGCTCTCTCTCTCTCTCTCTTGCTCAGAGAAATCTACTGTTTTTGACACGGACGCATGGTAAAACCTGGCCTGCAGCGTGTTTCGCTATCAGGTGCCCGGTTTTATCTTGACGATTGCATAGCACTCTCCTCTCTTTCGCTCTTTTCCTTTGTGAACGCAAGCATTTTTCGCGTGGCATTCGCGCCAACGTGAGGCGAATGCCCGCGCTCCCCAGTGCGAAAAGAGTCGTCCCTTTTCTTATTTTTCTTCGCCGCCCGTGCCCGAATGTTTTTTCATTTGCACGAAAAAAGTTTGGCAGACCGATAGAAGGAAAGCGAGAGCAATCCACCGTGTATTTGTATACGATATATATAGGAGGCAAAGTTCACAGGAGCGTAATCGAGAGCCCCGGCGTTGGCTTTGTGTGCGTACTTTTTCCTTTTATTTGGGTTATTGAGCGAGATAACCTAACTATTTTTATTACACAGCTTGCTTGTGCCTGTACGGTAAAGCGCGTGACCCTATTGCCTGCTTATTTCTCTATCGAACAGTTGAGAAAGTACAATCAACAAGTCGATCGCGAGCTTATTGGCGAATAAAATGCAAATGTATTTGTACGTGTGGTTGAGATTGTCACTTGCAACAGCTAAATTTTCGAAAATAAAAGGTCTGGTCCGTCTGCTTCGCGCGCTTTGGCTTTCTCCGGCTGGCAGCCGTCGGCGCGCCGCTCAATTCAGCGTTCCATCTACAACATTAGCCGAGCAACTTTCTAACGCGACAGAAGATTAAAACGCTTATCTCTGTGCGCCGCGAAAGAGTCACGTCATCTCTAAAGACGGGCAATAAGCTTTCTGCGCGTAACTCGCGCGTGCCCCTCGCTTTAAGAACAAACGCGAGGCGAGCAGGAGAAAAAGCGCACAAAACAAGAGAGACGAGAAGCCGACGACTACTCTAAGAGAAATAAAGTAGTCGCGCGAGAGAGAACAGCGAGCGCACTCGACGAAAGGAAAACTGCGGAAAAATGGAAGCGTGACCGTTCGTTCGCGTACCGAAACGTGACTCGCTCGTGCTTCGTACTTGACTGCTACTGTTTGTTCAACTGAACCCGATAAACATTCACGATAGCTTCGAGTAAGACAATTTACGAACCAACCAGCTCAACGATTATTTACATGTTCTTAACACTAACTCTTTATTTTATTTACAATACTTGTGAGAAAAATCATTCGCGCACTGCAAACTTGTATTTTACGCATATATTTTCACTGCTGTCTCTTTGCTGCAAGGAGTACTTCTTGCTATTCTGTAGCGAGAAGCTTGATATTATCGTTGTCCCTAGAGTATTGGAAGCTATAGTTTTACTTCCATTATCTTCTAACATCACCAGCTGCATCTCGGTGAAAGAATACAAAAATAATCTTAGCATTCCAATGTTTTTTTACAGAACCTTTCAAAATATATTTTTCAATCTTGATTCTCTCAATGTTTTCATTCTGACGGTATAAACTTTTTTTAAGGGAAAGAGTAGGTTTTACTTTTTGAGCGTCTGTTTACGTTTTATGATAGCTTGCGTACGCATAAATGCAGTGTATAATGGCATCAGTTTCTATCGAGCCCTCAATTTCAATGCTCAGCTGCAAACACCAAGAATTTTCAGCTATAACAATTGATCGTGCTTACAAAGCTATAAGCAAAATTAATCCGGATCAACCATCATATATTTTTGCTTTAATTCTATCTTTGAAGATTTTTTCCTTTTAATTAGTCTGTTCATTTAGGTTAACAGATTTGTTTCATAAAAAATTTTTTTTTTTATTTCCCATTTGTATTTTTTGCCAACGCCGTTTGTGTTTATTTACATTATTATTTTATTTAGTAATACTTTTCTTTGTAAAAGTTCTTATGGAAAAAAGAGATAAATTACTAGAAAACTAGGCCGCTGAGCGAAAAAGCTGTGGCATAACAAAACTTTTCCAATACTACACCGTCACCAACATTCTTCTAAACAGTTTTTTTGCGATGAGATAAACGTGAAAAGTGAATGTTTTGTAAAGTAATCATGTTAGTGCATTGATTAAATTACAAAATTATTATATTGCAGTAAAATACACCATCGAATATGGCCAGGCAAAAAAGCATTACATTTTTTAAGTTAGTTTGAGTAAATGTTGAATTAACATTATATTTTGAGAAACAGTTTTTGAAACTTTGACAAATGCACATACAAACTTCAGTAGACTAAATAAGCTGGCAACCGTTTCGTTCTGAACGTAAAATTATTCTACTGAGGAACTTTCAAAACATAGTTTGTTACTGTGGCGGTTGTTTTAGGCATCCACTATTTAGTAGTTCCGTAACCCAACTTGCCATGTTTCTTAAATCTTCTATGCATAATTCCATTTTTTTCTTAAGTTCATAAATTATGCAAATTAATCTTTGGTATGGATGTACTGAAATTAAACGCCATCACAAGTTAACTAGAGAATGTCATATTTTAAATATTCCTTGTTTCAGCCATGTGACAAACCGACTGATTCCCGTGCAGAGCAATGCTCGAGCTATGACAGTGTACCACACAGCGATCAGTTACTAAAATGGTATCCCTATTACGATCTGTCAAGGCCTTGTGCATTAATATGTCGAGGTGAACCAACTAACAACAGTAATTTGCTTCGGGCGTCGGCGAAGCAATCTGCAGTTCTAAAAGCTCAAACGATGAAAGATAAACTATCGAACGATGACGACGAGTATGAATCGGATGATTCGATCATCGTTCAACTAGCTGAAAAAGTACAGGATGGTACGAAATGCTATCTTGACACTCAAGATATATGCATCAACGGCGAATGTATGGTGAGTGCGAATTAATTTTTTTTTACTCTTTACTTGTTCTATTATACGATAATAGCTGAAAGCGAATATTTTTATAATTATTGACAAAATGATTCCGTGATAGGTTTAATTAATTTACTGCAAGGTCACTTATTAATATCTGGTAATCTATATTCAATGATATTTTGAAAATAAGTTCGAGCAAACAATTCCACTGATGAAAAATCACAGCAATGAGATTCGACGACAACAACAACTGCACCATATCCATCGAGAGTTTCACTTTCGTACGAGTCAATTACGCGATTGAGAGAGCGAGAGTAAGCAAGTAGTATGCTCGCGTAATCGCATTTCCGATACTATGCGTCTCCTCAGAAGTGCACGCGTCATCCTCACGTCAATCAGCTCCATCGTCGAGCGCGCGCGACAAGGAATCGCTTCAATTATTCACAATAAGAAATTGTAGCCACTTCTCTGCGTAAATCATGCACTAGAATCGACTGATTGAAGTCATCGTTTATCAATACCAAAAGTTATAGTTGCAATTGGCACGATCGATCAGATGTGTTTGCTGCGTATAATTGTTGATCGCCCAGGTGGCGAGCGAGAAATACTATAAGCGATCGCATCTTCGAGCAGCAACCAAACAAGAACGTCAACAATTTTGAACGATGTAACGAATTAGAGAGAAAGCAAGTGGCACAAGACAGTTAACGAGCTTTACTTCCTAATTGGCAAATCCCTCGAAAGCGTTTCGTAATCAGCATACAGTTTCAAGAACGTACATAAAGTTTGCCACCAAGGCTCCCAACAATAACTAGTCTCGCACACTTTAGCAGTGACGTTACAAGTATTGCGTGAACGGCGACGGTTTTCGCATTTTCAACCAAAATAGCCTAGTATGCGCGCAATCAAACGACAATGAGTCATTCTTCGCTTGCTGGGTATAGCGTATTTCAAGCCAAATCCAGAGAAGGTATTACAGTCTTACGGCAGCGGCGAATTCACGAGCGCTGCAAAGAGAATTTATTACAGCTCTCAGCAGAAGCCAAAATTAAAGTCCGCGAGTAATTAGATCTGAAGAAGAGGTGCGGCTCAAAGAGAGCAAGAATGATTTCTGGCTTCAATTTCGGCTCCACTCGTCTTTTAATAGGCACAACTCGAACGTTCCTTCGCTGCATAATGTGAACAGACAGGCCGCAGATCATATCTTCCTTTTACTTTCTACGCGTTGCTTTCGCAACCTCCTACCTGTGCGTGTGGGCTCACAGCTTGGATAAGGGATGAATAATGTACCAGTGGCGCTGCTATCAGCAGACTCTCCTGCGAGTCTCGCGCGCATGCAGCCTGAATGGCAAATCAGTTCGCGTTCGTATACACACATACTCGCACACCCCAAGTCTTCTCACTCTTCTATTTTTCCTTTTTTCGCTTTCTCGCTGTAGGTCTACACATAGCCGACAGCTAATTCAAAATTCTTTCCGCGCGATCAGCTTCGTCAGACTGTTTTCTACGCTTGTGCGCGCCGTCGAGGACAGATTTTACAGTGATTAGGGCTGCGCTCGTACTTATGCTGCCTACTTCACTCGCGAGCTATGCGTCGAAATTTTAATGCGTTCGGATCAAGTATCGCCAAAGCCGTGTACAAATTTCCTCCGCAATTTAGTAGCAGCTGAGAATGATGTTTTCTTTGCTGTGTTTTCAGAGAGTTGGCTGCGATATGAGAGTCGGGAGCAGTAAAAACAGGGATGTTTGTGGCGTTTGCGGAGGTGACGGCTCAACTTGCCACGCAAAATACGCTTGGACGCTGGAATCAACGTCTGCCTGTTCTGAGTCTTGCGGCGGTGGTACGTTTTAGCATATTTCATTGTGCGTTGACTATCGTCTAGCAAGCGCTTCAATTGTACTCGTTGTTTTTTCTAGCCCCTTTGTCGTATTCATTATGAACACGATAAAGCACTCTGAAGACTTGCATCGACTTATCTAGCACTTACAATTTGTCATTTTACAGGATTCAAAATTGCAACTCCGATATGCAAGACCACTGGAACTGTCGAGAAAATTGTCGAGAGCACAAATTGCGATGCAGATTTCAAACCAAACAAAGTTTTCCTACCGTGCAACACTCATCCCTGCTCTACCAAGTAAGTATAATACAAACAAATATTCTTCTTAGAGACATCTCGATCGATTAGATAACTAATCAGATACAGTTTCTTTTTCCTTGCAATCCATGAACATGTTTTTATCGTTAAATAGATTCATGATGAAAGATCCCTAAGCGAGCCAAAAACAACCGAAACAAACTGATCCGAGACAAAGAATAAACTTCCGGTAGTTCGCGTTTGATAAATAAATAAAACGGAGCCGAGTAAATATTGAATAAATAAAGGATTTATAAAGCCAGCCAATAGAAAATTAGCCAAATTTAAGTTCAAAGTTTGGAAAAGTGGTGGTAGGTCGCGCAAAGCAAAAACGCGTAGTCGGTGGGCAGGCAAGCGAACGAGTTTCAGTCTTGAAGTTTGAGCGAGCCATTAAGTGGGCCAAAGAGTACGAGTGCAGAGAGAAGGACAGTACAGCTCGTGAACAGTTTTTATGCGCGCGAGCATGCAACGAGAGAAAACGAGAGAAAACGAGAAACAAGTCGTCGCGGCTGGTCGACTCTCGTGTAGGCCAGCCAACGATTTTTCTTCTCTTTCTTCCTTTCTTTTATTCCTCTTTCTCTGGGCTTTGATGAAAGTAGTACCACTGACTTTCGCCAGGTCTTTAAAAATTTTTATGCATCGTGAGCATTATTTACAAATTGGTAAAGTTTGATAGTTTGCAAACTCGCCATGATACACGAAAATGATTCGTTCGGGACATAAGACGCAAGAACTGCACCTAACAGGCAGGTTCTATCCATAAATATCAATAACAAGAAACGCCACGTTAGTGACGGACAGCAACGACAGCAGTAGCGCAAAACGATAACAATAACAGCGTTGATGAAGGCTCTTTTTTAGATAGCCGCCGCGTGCACGGATATTGCAGCCACTAATAACAGGAAGCTACGCGAGCGGCAAGCCAAGCTCGCTCCAATTGTTTGGATCCACGCGTGATACAGTACAACAAATATATGCGCGAGCGTTCACGCGCGACTTGGACTAATTTTAGGTGCGCAGGTTTACGTGCAAGCCAATGAGACAAAAGCCACTAGACTTATGTGTGGATACGTGTCGAGCTTATGAATAAATCAAGCTAACTTGAACGAGCGCCATCGAATCATGCGCTAATTGCTTTATAGCCTCGGCGAAATTTACTTTAATTCGAGTAGTGCAACGCGAGCGTGTAGCCGTCGCTTTAGCCCCTTGGGGTCACCTTATCCTTGAGCTCCGTCGTCCACGTACACACAGGCGCGCAGCATTCCGATGCTTGCATTCCACTACTGCTGTTGCTGCGCTACTGTCTGCCCATTGCTACAGCAAACTACTTGCAAGCCACCGCCGCTATCGGTAGAGCACAGTCGACTGCTAACTTCGCATTCGCTAGCTCACACTCGATGATTAACTGTGACGGAGAGAGCCATTCAACTGCGATTCTATCGCGTTTTCAAAATGTTCTTTGAGTGCGCGTCACGTTTTGCTGATTGGCTTTAATTTTTCATGCCAAAGCTCTTTTATGCGTGAAAGATTTATAATTCCTCACTATGTACCTGCTATTTTCACTAATTATTTGATTTCTATTACTTATCATTGGATATGTATTTTATTTTTTCAATTGAAATTATGAATCAAGTTAAAAATTAGACAAGGAAATTAAAAATTCTTGATAGACACGCATCAGTTTTCAAACAAAAAATCACAATTTAAAAATGAATGATCGGCATATGTTAGCTTGCAACAAATTTCAGCGTTAAATATTGAAATGAAAATTTTAATTAATTGTAAATCATTTAACATGAAATCATAATTGGAAATTGAAATTAATTTTCAATCATACGTCAAGCCCTGTCATAATTGAAAATAATTATTTCTTAGATGCAACCGATAAACAACAATGAAAAGCATAATTATTCCTTTGTAATAAATCAACTTGCTCGCTTAATAATAGGGCTAATGAATATCTCGGGGAAATCGCAGATTTATGCAAACGATCCATTAGCATGCAAGTGAGATAGCCAATGTTTAAGCAAGTGTGGTGGATTACAAAACTAAAATTGATAATTACTTGTCATATAGTTAGGACATGTATTATGATTCGATTCAATTATGCTTTAAAGTTTCTGATTATTTTTAGCTCCAAACATGAAAAATTAATAATTGAAAAATGTACTTCTAGGAAAACGTACTTTTTGTAATTAATAAAGACAATCAAACATAATAAATTGCTGTTAAAGTTCAGAGACAAGCAAAAAAATGTAAAACCTATACGATCTAAAAAAATTACCATTCAGAGCCTGTACTGATATATATTAAATATTTTTTACAAGTTATAACATTAAATTGAACATCTCGCAAGGTAGCATCTTCTCCATGTGTTCTCGTTCACGCGTCAATTTTTATTTGAATGTTGAATGTATGGATTACAGGTGCAATGTTGCCTCAATTGACTAGCTACGTATGCACCATACTTCTTTAAATAACTTAGTATCCACTTCAAACTTTCTAAGCTTTGATTAATTCAGAAAAAAAGATCAAGTATCTATTTACACTTAATAATAATGTAATTCTTTTTATTTAACAAACATAGCCAGCATATTGAAGATTGTTAAATTATGCAGTTTTCGTTACATTAGCGGTGTATTTTTATGAATTTTCAAAGTTCGTCAAATTATTGAATGCTACTTGGCCCATCGTTGAAATATTCTTTTGCGACGAGTATTGAATTTTTTTTAATTGGACAAAAATTACTGCAAATTATTAGCTATGTACGAGTCATGCCAGTGTCAACGTGTTAAAAAGTAATACCGTTTATTTATCATGCAACATTTAATAAAGTAACGCGTTACATAACTCGTGCAGAGATGCACAGAATGTGCCAAGAGCAAATATGCACAACTATGCCATACACGAGTGGACAGCTGCGAGCAACATAACTCCGTTGATATTTCAATTAATGCAACGAGTTGGTGGCAGTAAAACTGCACTACTATACGGATTAAAGAGCGCGCATTTATATTCGTAGAAAAACAAGGAAACGAACGTCCGAGTTTTTTCTTTCTTCGAGTCTACATCAGTATGAGTGCCAAGCTACTATTCGTAATCGTTCACACAACTGGTGAGTGCTTTCAACGCGCCAAGACAAGTCTTTTCAAAGTACTCACGTACGTCAATGTCTATCCTCACTTTTTCCATTCTCTTCTGTCACCCACCATACTCTGTGCACACTATACAGAGGACAAATAGCCGGTAGAACACCCCATGCGTCGCATGTCATCTCGACTCTTGTATTTGCGCGACAGAGCGAATTAAACGATCGATAAACGTGTCTGACGAGAGAGAACCGCTAGAACGATAAGCTTCCATATACTGTGCGCGCAAAACGTGAAATTTAAGGCCGTCCGCGCTATGCTCACTTGACGCGGGTTAAGTGGGAGGACAGTTGTTGAAACTGATTGATCGAGTGACTGCACACACGAGATCGTGGATATATCTGCATTCTGATTTGTAAGTTAACGTTCGGGCAGAGGATTTTGATTCGTTAGTCAATATGAACATCGCCAAGGCTGAGCTACCAACTGCGACTGGAATTAGTTTAGAAGAAATTTCATTTGCACTGCACCTTTAAATTTTCAATCAGCGAAACGAAAGCATATTATGCAAGTTGTTGTTCATAACCGCGAATGCGAAACAAATATTACCCTCAAAAAAAGGCATACCATCGTTGCGAGACAGAGCACATTTTTCAAGTCTCGTTAAAGTTGATAGGTTGAAGAGGCTGTGCAGCGTGCTCAGCCATACGATAGCTTCAACACTGGTCTCGGAGACAAACGTTGCGCCAAAGAAAAAAAAGAAAGGGCGCTCATGCTGCAGTGAGAGCGGCGTGACTTATGCTACCTTTGATTCCGCCACGACACTTGGAATCTTCGCTTCGTACAATGGCGCCTAGGCTATTGCCGTGATTTTTATGGCTTGTGTTAAATAATACTTGTTAAAACGAAAGTTAATTGAACGATAGCATTGATAAACTGCTTTTAGTGCTTCCACATTGATGGCTATTCCGCAAATTAACGCCTTCCTTGTTAACGCAATAGTATCGCCAAAAAACACATCTAATTAATTGAGTAGACAGGATTAAAGCTAATTATAAGCAAATGCAGATCAAGTTAAGATGAGATTTCAAATGAATGATGTATCAGAAGTCGATCTGATAGAGTGGAAGGAAAATTCATGGCTTGCGTGCAATGAGGTAGAAAAAAAAAACAGTGAATTGACCGGGCGCGAAAGAGGGAAAACGGCGACATTGCTAATTGGAATCTGAGACGCAATTACTCGAGTACGCTTCTGTGTTTCCGTGTGTTGTGGGCCATTCGAAGCTGTACGCCTCTTAATCTTTTTCATCGATTATGCAAGTGCGCTCGTGTGCTGATTGCCGTCTGACAGCAGGAGCCCCTTCTTTGAATTTCTATTTACCAATGCGTAAATGACTAAATCACGTTTCAATGGCTCTTTTTCATTAAGCAATCTCTTTCGCTCTTGGCTATTTATACGCGCTTTCGTATGCGCGAAAGCTCTTATGAAGCACAGCAGCTTGAGCACGTCAATAATGAATATGAAATATTCTCTGTGGAATGCTGAATGCAAGTAGTGAAAGGTTCTTAAATGCAGCCAAAAGAAGTGTCTGTTTGTCCTCAACGGATTATACCGAAAATTGGGTCGACGATAACTATAAAAAGCTCTGAGATTAAGTTCTCGAATAATTTTGAATGGTTTTCAGTTTCTGAAAACGCGTTAATAATTCGTCACGTTTTCTTTATCATGAAAGTGATTTGCAGCTACTGCTTCCATATTTTAAACTATCAAGATGAAATCTACTGAAAGCCTTCTAAACGGTACACATTGAAATATCCTTCATTTCAAAACATTTTATTATCATTTTATTAATAAACTCGAATTTCAGTAAATATGTTGTAAATGCTCGTATATTGCTATTGCAGGTGGCTGACCGGCGATTGGAGTAAATGCAGTGTTTCCTGCGGTGGTGGGTCGAGGAGTCGTGCGGTTTTCTGTACTTCGGAAAACGGCAATACGACGAGCCAAGTAAGCAACATCATTTGATCGATGAAGCTTCACTAGTTCAAGCTTGAATTAATAACGACAACTCGAGAAGCTTTCGTTTACGTTAAAAATTTATGAAGGTTGGATGTAGAACAAAGTAAATATAACTTGTTCCCAATCCCTAATCTCATCTAACACACAAAATTGCAATTATCAGAAATCATGTCAACATATTAAATTAAAGCCAGAATTGGCATTTCCATGCACAGTTAGCAGACTACAAATGCATTGCGGGTCACAAGCCCAAGTTCCAAGAAATCTGCAATGCTTTCTCGTGTCCCATGTGGGAGGCTGGAGAATGGAGCGAGGTAAGCATCACAATTTCGGTTATTTCGAAATACGCGCATGTGAGCGCTCGTGATTGCAAAAGTCTAGAGTGTGCGAAAATTTGAGTACCGCATGAGAACAGAAAAGAAAGCAGAGCGAACCCTGACTGCGTGTGTTTCGACACAATGCTATAGAAAAAGGCTTGGAGAACTAAAAGCTATACACGAGGCCTCGCGATCCTGCATGCAGGCAAACAGCAATCCGATTTACCTCTCCTTACTCGGCTCTCCCTCTCTTTTTCTCTCCCTCTCGCTTTCTATCCTATCTTTGGCTTCAAAATTCAAAACGATCGGAAAGACTTTTGCCCTCTAGGCTTCGGTGAAAATAGGAAGAAAAATGATTGGAAAGACTCTTTACATAGCATTTCTGCTTATCTTTACTCTTTAGCTTTAGTGTCCTTACATTCAATCTACTGTATTGTACAAAAAGTTGGCTTTTCATCTGCTGAACTTTTCATCTACCGATTAAAGATTAGAATATTAAACGATACTTTTCAGTTCCAAATATATCTAGTTTTAGTTCAGATTTGTATTTTCAAATTGCAGTGAAATCTCGTTCATTCAAACTTTGATCATTCGCTAAATTACGATGATTCGAAAATGAAACTCGAACTCTTGGATTTCGAATTATCAAAGTTTCACTGCATGCAATATTTGTAAGAGAGTCTTGTAAATAAAGCGCAGGACTCTCATACGAAGTCGTTATAGTTATAGCTCTCTGCAAATTAAAAATTGCAAGTAACAAATTGAAAAAAGAGACCAAAATTAGAGGTATAAAACTTTGTAATCATAATATCTATTTATGTAGTATTTATTATGATAATATCCATTGATCGAATAATCAATTCAATAATGGAAATCAATTGATTACTCAATGATCCTCCAGAAAGGTTACAAAGTGTATAGATATACCAAAGCCAACAAAAGTATGTTGAAAATTCCATTGCGTATAGAATCAGACACTGATTTCCTTGCCTATTGTCGAGCAAGGAAATATGATGCACGGTGATTATGTAACTTTTGAATGGAGAGGCATTATCGGCAAAGCGAAGAAAGAGCAGGTTAATGATTTTGTCGAGCGGAAGAGTGAATAAGCCGCGGAAGACAGGAATTGATAGACTTTCCTCTCGACGGGAGGGGCCCGCGCGAGAACAAATATTGAGCCAGGAGGTTCGCTTTTCTTCAGCCGAAAGGGACGAGGGAGGGAAACACTCGAGGCCTCTGTATCCTATCTCACTTACTCCTTCTACCATTCTCTCTTTCACTCTTATTTTGTTTTTCTCCTACGGCACTCCATCTCTTATCTTCGCGAATAGACCCCTCTTTCTCTTCTTCTACTTGGATTTTTACAGCTTTATTACTTTGTATTTTTTTTATTATCGCTAATGGGTGCAAACGAGGAATTTTATAGAACATTTTCTGAGGACCTGCCCGCGTTGATTAAGCTTAGTTATTTTTTTTTTTTGTGGATCATTTTACAATATTGATTTTTTGTTCGAGTGAGGGAGTAAATTAAAACTTTCCTTTGATCACTGTTCTCGGCTGTCATAGCTTTATTATAGTTGAAGCTATATTCGGTCAGTGGAGGCAATACGAAAAAGAAACAAATAAAGTCATCATAATAAGTGTTTTGAAGATGTTAACGAATCGATTAACTAAATGTCAAAAGTTGTTTTCTTTTCACATTGCCTCCACCGATTGAGGAGTTTTAACCAAAACTGAATTAATATATTTTTGAGATACCAATTTTTAAGGCTTTATATTGGAAATTTCGTAACCGAATTTCAAGTTATAGTTTTAATGAATATATGACGGTTAAAGAAAAAATCTTGGAAAATAGGTACGATAGCCAATTTTATTTCGAAACTTTGATCCAAAAAAGTTATATAAATACATGACAAAAGGTTTATAGTTCAAGAAATTTTATAGTTTGTGGGCGGCATTGCGTGTGAAGCAATATCGTTGAACTACGCCAACGTGCCTAAGCTAATTACAATTCGCAGTAAGCGAGGATTTGGTAAACGTGATCAACCCTGTTTAAACCAAACACTTCACTAATTTTTCATTTATCCTTGTAGGTTCTGTACTCGCCAGTCGCGACGGGTATTAACTCACGGCTAAAAAAGTTTTTCTCGTCGCCGGGCAAAAGTGTTGTATGAATAAAAAAGCAAGTCTCTGCTAACGAGTTCACGCGTATTAGAAGAGCTCGACAAAAAGAAAAAGGAAAATCGTTTTTCTCTAGTGCCAAGTCTTTAAAATAGTCGGTTGCTCTTGTCTGTCGACTACTGTACTCGTAAAAGCTTCAGTCGTGAGCGCAACTTTGTTCGTGTGAAATCCTTCTGACCCTCGCTCATTCTCGGCTACTTCTTTTTTTTTGTCACTCATATCTTATTAACTCCAAGACGTCGTATCTCTTTTTCAGTTGACTGTCAGTTTCACCTGGCATGACTATTTCTTCAGGCTTCACGCACTCCCGCGCGCAGTATTTTACCGAACAAAAGAGGAGCGTGATTGTGGAACGCGTCCGCGGTTTCAGCAGCTATGGCTTCTCTACTTTTTCGTGTGCTCTTATTTCTTCGGCTTGCTCTGTGCCCTTTTGTCTTGTTTTTTTTTCTTTAATCTTGCCTGAGGCTTCGCCAAAGTTGCAAATGCCGAGCTGAATTAAGCTAAGAGGTCTGAAGATCAAAAATCAAACTATAGTATGACTTTTTAGGCCACCGATTATTTTCTTTTATAATTTTCATATTCGGTCAACGAACATATTTTGACAAGCCATTTACAATTTCTAAATTTATTTCCGAAAAAAACTAACATTTATTCTAGAAACTCATTTTTACTGTATCATTTTACTAATGAAAAAAAATCGAATATATTAATCTATTAAATAAGCAAATTCACAAAGCACAATCAACTTATGGTCCTTAAGATCTTGACAATAATATTGACCAAAATACATGAAATTGTAGTGTTCAGCAAGCTGTGGTACCGGTGTGAAAACGCGCAATGTCGAGTGTCGGGATGGCAATGGCCAGTATTCTAGTGACTGCGACCCATCGCAGAGACCTCGAGACGAACAAGATTGCAAACCGGCATCCAACATCGATTGCCCCAGTTGTGAGTTCAATGCATTCTAAGAAAATGTACTCTCGTGCAAGTTAATTTGTTACTACTTGTAGATAGTTTGCTAGAAATCGTAGACTTCGTGATTATTTAATATAAATACTTTGTGAAACATTGTTATACATTTTTTATTTAACGGAAAAGTTTTTAGATCGTATTTTATTATTATTTTAGGTTGAACACGCGAGTAAATTATTTATGTAAAAGATTTATTTTCAGTCCGTAAATAGGGAAATAGAAAAATTATTTAAACTGAAAATATGCATTAAAATTCAAACAACTTTTACATGAAGGCCATCAGAACGTATGGAAGATCACTTTGATGAAACTTCGGAAAAATATTTCTTATAAAAATAAAAAGACAGATATCTATCAGTTGTGGTATATCCATTTCTTCAAGAGTTATTTCAAGTTAAAAAGTAACTTTAATTTTCAATACATTCGAACTAAGACCCTGTAAATTCCCAACAAAGACCTACGAGCTATAACCGAAAGATGCAAAGACGCGTGTCTTTATTCTTTCACCAGAAATATTTCCTAAAAGATTCATCAAAATCGGTCTCCCGCGAGTCTAGTAGTCTACTTAAGTCTTGGTTATTTTTTTAAAGTACATATGCATCTTAATGAAAGTTAAACATTATGTAAAAGACGGAGAGAAGATGACGCATCCACTGATGCAGTCGTACCCACCAGCACCAGTGCCAGAGAAGCTTATAGACCAGCCTGTGCCCTCGCAATCAACGTGAGTACAAACAAGACAAATGTGCTCGCGCGCTTCTTTCACTTTAGAGTTTCTACGTTTGAAATTCTTTTGGCACGCTCTATGAACTATCCCCCCTCCTCTCTCTCTCTCTCTCTCTCTCTCTCTCTATCGACTTTGCTCATTCATATGTATGCTACAGTGCTGCGTCAACATACGAGACTTGCTTGTTCGTTTAATGACAAGTAAATAAAATAATTACGTTTCTTCATCATTACTAAAAATAAAGAGGAACGATGTTATGCTTCATCACATTATTCCGTTAATGAAACGAGGAACACAAATGGAACGTCCCAATTTCGAAGTAATTATCAGTAGTAGCTAGAGATTCTATTATCATTCTAGAGAAGAGGCGACTGTGTCTATTATCAATTAGCTAACAATGAGAAGAGAGAGAGAGAGAGAGAGCCGTAAGCTAACACACTTGCCCACGCACACATACATAGGCGAATGCAACGGTGCTAAACTCGACTAGTTGCATGCACGAGCAGCCCCAACGAAAACCATAATCTAGTAGAGGCAAAGTTCGCACAAATCCAATACTCCTGTGTATAGCGCGAGTTTATCCTTGCAACGTTTCGTGCAGCATCGCACGCGCGCATGTGCGTCCGTATATATATATATATATATATATATATATATATATATATATATATATATATAAAAGGAAAACATATATATGTATGTTTTCTTTGCGAGAATCTAGAACGAAAACTGTGACGTAACCCCTCCGCTTGTGATGAACTACATATCGATGTTGATGCTAATGAAGTGAAATTTTTTGTTCGTTGTCGGAAAAGACGTGCTTCGCATTATGCTCAGACTACATAATTGATTTGTTACGATGCCAGGTTATAATAAGGCTAATCTTGCTCACTGTGCGATGACTGGCGAAAAAAAATGTATTTGCATACAGTAAGATTTATGGTCAGAGTTTTTTGTTGTGCAGATGAGTACTCGCGGAACATGTAAACAAATATTCTCAGGGTTACATATACGTTGTCAGCTCTCCAGTGAGTTAAGAAAACTTTTCAACGCGCTAAAGGTGAGCCTTGAATGTAAAGCTGCAGTATAAGTTGCAAACAAACTTTATCGTGTATCGGTCTCTCTCTTTCTCTACAAAAGTTTAGTTTCATAAGAAAAATATTGAGATTTTGATCGATAACAATCGTACGCTCAGCTATGCCCCCTCAAAAGAAGAAAACTTTTTAAATCTCAAACTTATCGACTCCTTGGTACACATTTTATACATATATATCATGAAGAGAGAGGATGATTTATTGACGCGAATTTATCGGATGGAAAGAGAAAAAAAGAAGTGTTCCCTATTCAAGCGTAAATCAACGCTGATAAGAGATGTTTGATTTCTCATAATTTAAGCATCTCTCAAGATGGCTCTGAGCAGAAACTATGAAGCAGCCTTCGACAAATTAAAATAATGGCTGTCGAAAGGTGCAAAAAATTAAATAAAATCGACAGAAGTCCTTCTCTCAAATAAGAGCGAATAGGCGATCGAGCAAGAGGGAAAAAGTAGACTCGGGTCTGCCAAGAATAAGTTTCAATGAGAGAGAGAGGGTCGATTGCCCCGAATAAGTATAAATGGAAAAGAAGAGAGAATGAAATAACTCGTGAGGCATTCAACTCACTTTCTCTGGCAAAAATGAATGCGGATCGTTTTCATTCCGAGGCTATTTCTGGGATATATCTTTCGAGCAGGCGCCACACTCTCGATTGTTTCTTCAAAGTAACTTTCGAGAAGTTTAAAATTATAACGCAGCTAGTATATAGCGAAGCAACAGGCAATCGACCTGAGAGAGCTATTTCATGTTTTGAATCATGCTATAAAGCGACATATTTAGAGACCGATAGCACGAAATTGTTCTCTAAAGAGTCGATAGGCTCGTTTTATAAACTACACCTAAAGCTCGACCCCAAATTAAAATCATACTTTGTATTTGTAGAACTGTACGGACTAAATGGAACCATTACCTTGTTTCTAAAATAATCCAAAAATATCGCTGACCCGATCAACTTTTATTAATAAATCGTTTGATCGGCAGGTTTATACCAGACGAATGGTCGCCGTGTAGCGTCACTTGCGGCGATGGTTACAGACATCGTCAAGTGCACTGCAAGATATTCCTCGAGTTCAGTCGGATGATAGCTAAGTTGCCGGACCATCAGTGCTCAGGTCCTAAACCAGTTGAAACAGAAGATTGCTCAATGCCCGCTTGTGGTCTCGAGGAGAATAGCTTAGCTTACCGAATTGACACAGTGGGTGATAGTAGTTATGCCGAATCCAGTCTCACCGATGTCTTTAGGTCCTCGTCATCTGCAATAGCTGCTGGTGGTGGTAGCGGCATTCCTACGAGTTCTGGTGCTACTGGTTACGAAACCAACATCAAAGTGGCTTCTGGAAGTTCTGTTAAGACTTCGTATTCTTGGAAGGAAATCGGATACACTGACTGCAGCGCTACTTGCTTAGGGGGTGTGTTCACCTTTACGTTCATGTGCTCGTAACCATAACTGTTAGCAATACTCGATGTGCTTGATATATTTAATTCAATAACATTCCATTAGCTCTTATGGCTTTGATTTACAATTGAGTTTTTTTTTTCACACGTTGCCAGGAGTTCAAGATTTAATAATAACATGCATCAGAGATGACACGGGAAAAGCAGTGACACCTCTATTATGTTCACCGGATACGAAGCCAGAATCTAGGATAAGAGTCTGCAACGACCATCCCTGTCCTCCGAGGTAATATAACGCTTATTTCATTAAAATTTCATAATTCTTGTATAGTAAGCTGCTGCCGAGAATAGTTGTATGACACATATCCACTGACATCAATTAATTTTTCACGTTACAGGTACGAATATGCGGTAGTAACGTTCAAATTTGACGATTTAAATTGAATTATATTATTACTAAAAGCATAACCGTGATGTCTTGTCCAGAGTTCTTTACTCTATTTTTATATTGGAAGTAGTTGGTAGAATCTCTGAAAGCGATGCAGCCTTTATATCTTAACTTATCATTTATTAATTATTCATTCTTATTTATTATTTATTAATTACTTAATTCTCACTTACTATGTTCAAAGATACTATTTCGAAGTTAGATTTTTAAGAAATTTTAAAAATAATACGTGTAAACAAAACGAAACATAATAAATGAAATTGTCCTTTTCAGAATTACAAAGCGAAAGGCATACATCAAATTCATAGCAGCGAGCTGAACATTTATCGTGTGTTCGTTTACAGGTGGAATACTAGCGACTTTACTCCATGCGCGAGTCCCTGCGGACTAGGTATTCAAACGCGCGAAGTGACCTGCATCCACGAAGTAACACGAGGTACTGGCAACACAGTAGCTGTACCGAATCACATGTGTCCGCAGCCACCGCCTGTCGATCGTCAGTATTGCAATGTCTGGGATTGCCCGGTCGAGTGGCACGTCGGCGACTGGGGCAAGGTACATATAACGAGCTACTACCGAAATTTTATTCTCTCCACTCGTACGCGTCGCCACGTCCCGTGGACCTCGTTAACTTTTGAGAGTTTCTCTGGCAATTCTTTTTCTTCTTCTTCTTCTACTTCCACTTGTGAGATACACTATAAGTTCATCGTCGAATCAATTTGATAGCAAAAACCCTTTATTGGAAATAGATTTACTTTGAGAAAAAGCAAATGTATGCGCCGTCGTGGTGTCATTTGTAATGCTAGCACCGCATACGATAAAGCTCATCGATCGATTTTTAATTAAAACCACGTTGCATCTTGATATCATGCGCTTGTGAACGAGAAATCTCTCTAATGGAAATTGGATATTACATTCGACGTACCCAACTGCAAAAATTACATCGGGAGAAATAATATTGTAAAATTTGTCATAATCCGTAGTAAAAATTACTACAAAATATAGTAATCATGAAATATACTCTAACTGTAGTGAAAGTTGTTATCTAACATAGTAAAATTTAAAAGGTATGGTAATATTGATTGTAGAATCCATGATAATTACTACTATAAACAGAATATAGGAAATAAGCTCCTAAACTATGTACCTAAATTATGTAGATAGTTTAAAATTACTTAGCATTGCTTCGAGAAACCAAAATAAACTCTTTTATTTGATTCAATTTACTCATAACAACTTAAAAATTCTTCTTTGAAGTAAGACATATACGATTCATCAATGCGTTACGGCCAATACCTATCCACTTTTTGGCCATTATCACCAGTGCACTTTTTATCTATTTATTAGTTTGCAAGTTAACCTATTATATGTAGTTCGCATGGTAAATGATTAAATGCACGCATTTTTGATATGCATGATTCAGATTAACATTTTTTTATGTAGTAATCAAATATTTATTCTGATAGTTAAGAAAATTAAACCGCGATCAATTTCAACATGGCCCTTATAACTTATTACCTGAACAGTTGTTTTTATATAATATGCAGTTGATACGACATATCAAGGACTTCAATGTAATTTTTGCTATGTTCGTTGAATAAATTATTTAGATCATATTAATGTATATTATTTGTTATAATTAACTTTTTAGTATTGCCATATAAAAATTATTATGACTGTAGTAAAATTTAATAAAAGTTTAATACATTTTTCAACGACTCAAGTATATCCCACGATTCTATGTTTGGTGGTGAATTTTACTGCAACTATGACACATTTATTGTATCAATTCTCTCAGACTTCATTCAGGTCACTTCATTAGTCCTTTTACCAACAAGTATATACACATTCATATTGAGAACGAGTATTGATTATTCCGAAGTATTGAAAATAACACCATAAAATTGTTCTTTCCAATAAATACTAATGTAATTATTTTTTTTTTTTTTTAAAGAGAAACAGAATAACTTCTGTAAAAGCATATTGCATGTAGAGTAATATCCAATTTTGATGATAAATTTTTTTAACATGTTCCGTAATATAGACTATATAGAGTGTTTTATTAACGTCCACAACAATTTTTTTACAAAATCAGTAGTACAATAAAATTTTACGGATACATTTTATAAATTTGGATGAGAATTTTATATAATGCCGATAAATCAATGAAATCACATTCCTGAGGTTGCAAACGAGAGTATTTAATAAATCTATGCTTGGCAGTGCTCGAAAACATGTGATGGTGGAGTAAAGAGACGAAAGGTGTCATGTGAACAAGTAATGGCACAGGGTCGCAAAGATCCAAGATCAGAGTCAGATTGTTCATCACCTAAGCCACGTTCAGAGAAAGAGTGCAATAGCCGAGCTTGCGATACTATTAGTGCTGGAGCTCGACCAATTATTTCCTTTAAAAATACCACATACATTCAAGACAATCCAAATCAAAAAGTTAATCTTGATATTGGGGGGCAGGCGACGATTTTTCAAGGCACGCCGGTTATCAAAATTCGCTGTCCTGTCAAGAAATTTGACAAGTAAGTTAGGTCATAGGATAATATTTTTTTTAAACTTTTTTCTGATAATATTTTAATCCATATTTTACATTTTTATAGAGCTCACATTATTTGGCGGAAGGATCACGAGGAATTACGAAAGTCGCGGAAACACAAGATCAACAAAAAGGGAGCTTTAAAAATAGTCGATATTGACATTGAAGATAGCGGTGTTTATTCATGTTGGGGTAAGTATGAAAAATATAATATGAAGTAATTTGAAAAATAGTATCGCTGATGGAAAAACCAAAACTTTATATCTTTCCCGTCTTTTAAATAATAAATGGGTGGAAAAACTAAAGCTCATCAATCATGTTGTCGAATCGTAGAAGACCAACCGCGTAGTAGGGTAACGTTATCGTGGGAGTCAGGCTCATGAACTTCTGAAATGAAAATTTACAGCCGGACAAACAAATGCGGCAATGCATCTGAAGGTGAAGCCAAAGCCACGAGATCTAATGAGCAACGAGGAAGTTTTGCGCTCCGGCAATGCGGTGCATCAGCGTCAAGGTCTTAGTTCCGCACCAGTTAATTCTGGTAAGAACCCCACAAGCTTCAAGATCTGTTAGTCCTCTTAAGTTAAATTCACGTTTTTTCTTTCATTCTCGATCGATTTTTGATAACCACGTTTATACCAGTTTGACTAATTTCAAGAACACAAAGTTTATGAAATATTAAAATTTCAGTTGAATTGTTTGTTTATGTAAAATAGTGTTGGTTAATAAGAGATTGCTTGCAATACATTTTCTAAAATTAAAGCTTCTGTTCAATCAAAAATGAAAAAAACATGGTATTTAATATCTCGGCATTGTATTGGTCGTTCTTATTTGCATTGTATATAAGATACTTACTTACTTCTCCACAGAACCGTACAGTGTATACAGTGAAGAAAGTCAAGAAACGCGACAAGATAATCAAAAATCTCAAAAAACAACGGAGAAGCCGCGCAAAAAGAAGAAGCAGTCAGCGAACGCATCGCCCTCGGGATCTACAGGAAAATACGAAGACACCGGTACACCGCTACATCAGGTAAGTATACTTTGCGCTGAGATTTAAACCTTATTTTCCAAATTCACCCTGTTATCTTGCGACAAACAATTTTCTTCTTATCAAAAGTAACTGACTAATACTTTCTGGTATGCTATTATTGCTTGCGCTTTCTAACTGGTGATGAACTACTAATCAATTTAACTGACATTGACGAATGACTAACCCTAGCCGGTTGAGTCAATTGCTCCTTCGAGTGCTTCAACGCTGATGCCTCCTCTCAATTACATTATTACTACTGTCAAGGTGGGAATTGTAAAAATTAATAAAAATGACTGTGCATGTTAATGGTGATAAAATAAAATCGTATTATAGTTGGTACTTTTTCTCCTTGAATAAATAACAAATATTAACTATTATCGTTAATCCTCAGAGTTACTGGCCATTCCAAGAATCAACGAGTTCAGACACCACCTACGGCAGTGTCAATCTTCAGAATGATCAGCACCACTACGAAGTGCCTCACCGTCACGAAACCCGTGCAACAACTAGTACAGCAACAAATCAATACATATTTACAAATGGTTTCTCAGAGCCAAGTTATTTTGACCCAACACACGCGGATTTTGATCCATTTCGCAGTAATGGTAATACGGCTATCCCCGACAATACTTTCGGTCCTGACGAAGAGCGTATCTTCATAGATGACGACCCTTTCGAAGCTGAAGAAACGGTATTCGCAATCGAGCACAATAAGGAAAACCAATTGTTCGACAACACAATTTCTCCAACGCGACACCAACACGAAACTCAACCCACAGTGACAATGGTAAACCGACCAACGCGTGCACGTCATCATCATGGTAGTACCTTAGGACAGCTTGACCGAAACCAAAGAGGTGCTCGCCATCAATCGACGAAAAGCTACGAATCGGAAGAGATCGTACCACTGAGTACACAAAGTAACACCTGGGAGTCGGAAGAAGACGAAAATCTACGGACAAACCTGACTACTACGTCGGAAGAAGATCAACCGTTGCTCAAGACGACGGACGATTATTCACCATCTTCGTCGCCGGAAGAATTGGAAGCCGAGGTTGTCGCTGAGACTTCTAATGCGCAGATTGAAAATGAAACCATAGCTACGCCCCAATTCTCTCAGGTGGAGAAAACTGATGTAGTGATGCAAGAAGTTGATTTGAATAGAAAAGCGAGTAAAGATTCTGCAAATGAGTCCCTAAATGTTATAAGTGAAACGTCGAGCAAAACTGAGGGTAATAAAAACATAACACCTGTTGTGCTTAGTTATGAGGACAATAATCGTGAACCCACGATTGGATCTGTACCAGTAGTCAGTAGAGGTAGGTAATCTGGAATCAATAACATTAATTAAATTTTTCACGTTGGTTCAGCAGATTTGTTAAACCTTTTTTGTTGTTACAGCTAAAGACGATTTGATATTTGAATGGGTAACAACCGAGTGGTCGAGATGCTCGCAAACATGTGGTGGAGGTGGATTCCAGGTAAAATGAATTAATCAACCTTTAATCGAGAAACATCGATTGTGAAATCCCTAGTGAATAAAGTAACACGTACTTTTGTACAGATGCGTGGAGCGCAATGCACAGTGCGCTCGGCAAAAAACGATACAAATTCAACACAAGTAGCATCGAGGACGGTAATCGGAGCATCACTATGTGAAGATGCGGGCTATCCTGTGCCTGAAAAAGTACGAGCTTGCGGAACTGGCAGGTGTCCACAGTGGTACAGCGGCGAGTGGTCGCCTTGCGAATCCTCGCGTTGTTTCAACTGGAAAACTGGTAAAGATTTATTTATTTATCAAAAGAAATGATTTGTTTTTATCGAATATTAATTATTTTGAATATTTAAATTAAGCAATGCAAAGAAGAGAAGTGGCATGTCGTTTGACTGAGGAAACGGATGATAAAGTAAAAAATTCGACGTCTACTGATTCAGCAAAATGTGACGAAACTATGAGGCCACCACAACGGCAAGAATGCTACAATGACGCTTGCAAAGGTGTTTGGAGAGTAGGCGAATGGTCGGAAGTGAGTAGTATTCAAATGTTATATTTTTATATAGAGCAATTTTACACTAATATTTTATTTGTATATTTAGTGTTCGGCTTCGTGTGAAGAAGATGGAATCAAATATAGAATTTTACAATGCGTCTGGTTTGGAACGAAGAAACCAGCCGGTAATGCTTGCAGGGACATACCTCGGCCACCAGTTATGAAGACTTGTCGAGGATTGCCGTGTACTAAATCTCCAGGTAAAAATTATAATCTTGAAATATATGTACAAAAAGCATTTTTAAATCTGACTGACGTAATAAAAAATGTTTATTATTTTTCAGATGAGTGCAAGGATCATTCACAATTATGTGGAAGAGTCAAACTAATGGGGATGTGTCGAGTACCTCTTTATGGAAAACAATGTTGCAAATCTTGTCGACAAGAACGACATATATAATTTATTAAATTACTCGCGTAATTTTAAGATGACCAACCTGAAACTTTCATACTTTAGTAAGAACGAAAGATCTATCAGTGCATCGAATATGAACAAAAAATATCGTAAAGAATCGTTTAACGATCTATTAGATGGACTTTTTTGAGTCATTAATTTTATCAATGAATAAAAGAAATAATTTATTAATGATTTTTAAAAAATATTTCAAACAAACTATAATCAATAATACGATAAACTCATTGTTTAAGACTGACAAGATACTGTACTCCTATTAGAAAAGAAAAAATTTAAATCGATAATGACACAACTTTCTGAGAAATAAAAAAATTTTTATCTACAATCCTAACGTCCATAAGAATCGATTTGTGATTCGAAAACATTACTTTCATTGTTATTATTTGTAAAATCCGATTGTTTCTTACTTACTTCGTCTTTGCTATTGAAAACTAGCATGGATTACCGTATATGTGTAACAAAGTATAGTATCGTTAAAGTATCACGCGCTAAGTGGATTACGCAAAAATATAATTATAAAAAGAAATATAAATATATTACAGAACGCATAAAGTATGCCTAGTGTGAAAAAATAAACCCTCGCGGGTCGAACGTAAGCCAATAGTTTGTAAGCAATAAAAAGTAAGTATGATTAGATAATTGTAAGATAATATTTTGTTAAAGAAAATTGTAAGTCTGACGAAAGTTCGTTGACGCATGCATCAGTCGTTCGTACATATATACCAAAGTATTGATCGATCGACTGATGAAGTATTCCGTGTTGATAATTTTATATTGTTGACGTACTTTCGCCATCAATGAATTTGCCTCGAAATGGCTGCGTGACAGGTTTGCCAAAGTGAAGTCGATATTAAAATGATGTTAACAAAAAAGAAAAAAAAATAAATGATGATTAAAGAAGCAAAAATGTTAAGCATAATAAAAATATGCATTCAAATGTGAAAGGGAAGGTCATTAAGCATAAATGCTATAGAATATGGAATGAAAAGAGTAATGTGATTAAATAATATAATGAAGGCTAAAAGTTATAACGATACAAGTATTCTAGATTCTATTTTCGATATAGTTTGCTTTCTATTATCCATGCTCTTTTCCCAGCCTTTTTTCCTCCCATTTGCGTGCAAAATTACAAGATATGGAAATTATAATCCAAACAAATATAAAAGATATAAATAATTATCATCATAAAAAGTAAATTGAAGCAAACTACAATATCCTTATTCTATTTGTCTCAGATCACTAATATAATTAATATACTTCATATAACGAACTATAACTTGAAAAAATTTTAATATTTGAACAGATATATTTAGAAGCCTCTACGATTTTTCGACAAACCATTACTACATTTATTTAATTGATTATATTGAGAAAAGATGAATAAATAAAAGTAACAAAATATTATTTCTATACAATAAAATATATGCATCATGAAGTTTTTATTCTTAAGTTATATTAATACGTTACGTATGTCACTTTCTTAAAGAAAGCATGAAAATGGTTGAATAAAAATAATATTTATACCCATACTAATAAAAATTATAAGTTTGAGATCGCAGAAAGTATACATTGTAAATAGTATCTCTGATATTGCCGTATAAGTAATAAAGTGAAATTTCAAAATAACATTGTCTATAATGATTTTGTTTTATAACGTACATTTATTGAACTGTTAACTGATATATATTGTACAAATTAAGTTGTAACAGATTTTGAAACAAAAATGATTAACAGGGAATATTTTTATTTAATATTCTTATTGTGCGCAAAACAAAGTGTAGTATACAACAAATTTATAAATCATTTGGAAATTTCATTAGAAATAATAGAAAAAATTTTCGTATGTACATATAACACTGAATTATCTAAAAAAATATAGTTCTTTGATCAATCACTTATTATGAATATACACTCAAGTGTCTGCACGTATTATATACCACATCGAGTAAATTATGTACAACATATAATCCAGAGGACAAGAGAGTACTTATGATTGTTCATCTCATCTGTGTACATATGTAACTGCCTGATTCTTATATACATGTACATACTAATGTGATGTATGTGTATATGTATTCAAAAATATAAACTAACAACTACGTCTAAAGAAGTTTCTTTTTTTATTACAACTGAACCTAAACTTTCTTAAATTTGAATAACTAGTGTTATTTAGCGCGCTTCGCGCGCTTTTTTTTTAATGTTTTACTATTGTTTATTACATTATTTGAACCTTTTACATGTCAACTTCAAGATTTCAATGGACACGAATAAGTCATGCTGTTTAAAATAGACTACATACGTCAATATTTATTGATGAATAAAAATAGAACATCCGTATGATAAATTATGATGAATTGAATTTTTATTAGTAAAATCTCAACTCAAAACCACACCTATATGCTTATTTTCCGCCACATAAGTATATCACGCAATTATATCTCAGCCATCAGATCACTATATGCTTCAACGTGGCATCCATCACTTTTTTTACAAAGGATAAAACTGATAAACAATGAACTACATTATGATTATAAATGATGAATGAAAGATTATATTTTTTATATTTTATTTTTTTGCTAAAAACAAATTAAATTAAATCTGAAATAAAAAATCAACTAAAATCAATTTGAATTCTCGCGGTTTTTTTCTTTTGAGCCAATCAGGTCACGAATAAAATGCTTCAATATGGCTTCCATCATTTTTTTATAAGGGGATCCATCACTTTTTTATATGGGGATACTAGTATGTATGAGGATATGTATACTTGTGACACTAGTTCTTAATACCAATTTCAAATACTAATATTTTTCAGCAATAGTAATAATACATTTACTAATAAATACGGGAACATATTACTGGGCGGCGTAATTGCTCCAATAACATAATCGTCATAATAGGTTTATTTTAGTTCTATAAAATTTTTTACAAAAAATTAATTTTTCCACATAATGTTCGAATGACATCGTGAAATTTTATATAAGTATTTATTATATCTTCTAAAATTTATTTTGGTATCTTCTAGAATTTTTCCTTTCTCCCCTTCGAATAACATTTAAATTACTATGTACAATCTACATGTAAATATTTGACAACGCGAACATGTTTAACGCAACGCTGTAATTCTACAATTAAAGAGCGAAGTCATAATTAGGTTATCAGAGAGAATGGCTAACGTGCTCCGAAAGGACAGCCAACTGAAACCGAAATATTGTTGATATACTTAATGTACGCGATGTAAAAGTGTATATATAAAAGCAGATTTTATAATATTATTGCATTTACAGAAATATCTTTTCTCATTAAAACTTTTTTTTACATATCTGCACGTGATTATTATATACATGCACTCCACTGTAGTTTCAGGCATATGCTCTAAATATTAATACTTTTAATTAATAATAAAATTACTCAAAAATAGAGATTCAATAAATGAAATTATTCAAAAATATTACTTGAAAACTATAATAATCACTTTTATAGAGACTTGCATGAGAAGTACTTTTGATTAATTATTAAAGACGATATATCAATGAAATTAAAGTTTTATTACTCTATCATATTAAGCGTAACTAAAATACAAAGACATGTCAAGTTTGGCTTTTAATTAAACGAGCTAACGCATGGATACTTTGCCGTTGACTCCAAATTAAGATTAGTTTGATGTACGAAAGTCTCCTCAAGAATCTCGATCTTAGTGCGGTAGTTTTAACTAAGACCTTTGCCCGTCACCATACTAGCATCATGCACTTTCTTATCTCTAAAAAATAAAAGGTTATTGCTGCGTGCTGCTCCTATTGAAAATAATATGAAATTTATCTTACAATAATATAAACATGTTATAATTCCCATTTATACACACACACACACACACACATATGCAATTCGTTATTTTATTTCAATACAATACAATACGATACTAAATTTAAATTTATTACAAAATAGCCAGGTCTATAATAGATAATTTAATTGAATTTTAAATGCTCCACATTTTCATTACTTTATTATCATCCATTGGCCAAAGTTTCTTTAGGGTTAACCATTTCATTGGATGCTGTCGAATTAAATAATCGTTTTCTGGTTCTCGTTGATATGAGTAGCTTCCCAGCACTAAACTTTGAGCTAATCTGGCACATACGCACAATTTTAAAATACGTTTCTCTTGTAAAGTTAATTGTCGAACTTCTTGATAACCCTGAATCACGTATTTAGCCATTTCAATATCTTTACTTTGAGTGATCATGTAACACAAAGAGATAGCCAATTCGAAAATAAAACAGTTTTTGTGAGAATCGCCAAAATCAATAATTGCTCCAACGTCTTTGTTATCCGAACTAATAACTATATTATTTTCATTCAAATCTCCATGTATGATACCCTTTTCTAAAGTATCTATAATGGTAAGGACTTTTTGTTCAAAGTTTGATACAATTTCTTCAATGATATTAATATCACTTTTATCGTCCATAACAAAAAGAAAGTCCCGGATTTTTGGTACAGCAGGCATAACCCAAAGAGAAGTTTGAGTATCATATGCTGGATGCCAAAATTCTTTTAAAATATTATCCAGTCTAGCAGTAAACGAACCTACGTTTTTTAAAAGTTCTGCTGTTTTTGGAACATCTTGTAAAATCTCACCCTCACAATATGTCAACAAGCGAACAACATGTTTTTCACCTAAAATAAGAAAAAAAATTTGTAAAATATAAAATTTAAATACTATAAAATAATTCGAATATTGGAATATCCTAAATTAAGTTATTTTGCATGAAATGTAAATAATCATTTTGTTTACATTATCATACATATTTCATTAAATATGTAGTTTTTAATTTAATCTGCTATGTACCAATTTATATAATTTTTCAATGCCACATTTAATAAAAACTATTTTTCAACATTTAATAACTATGTATTTGAATATTATTTTTGTAACAATATAAAAATAAAGAATTGATTCATGAAGTGGATGACGGAACAAATTAAAGTTATATTATATTTTTAAACTTTTGATAAGTATCTAGCTTCTTTTCAAAGTTATTTGAGGAAGGCTGAGTCAAATATTTACAAACATTTCAATACTTAAAGAAAATAACGAAATATATATGTTTATAGCTGTATACCTATACATATCTTTATACATTTTGTATAGGCTCCTGTAACTCCGTCAACCTCTTTATGCATTTGAGATTAAAATGTATTGCTTCTATCTTTAAGATTATCAATCATAAGCTTTTATATATGTATACCTATTAAAAATATACTTACTGCTACCATTCAATATCTCTAACGAATAATATGACCCGTCCTTCTGTTTCACTGGAATTGTGCAAATAATACCCTTTTTGCTCAAGAATATTAACAACTCATTCTGAGCTTCAATAAAACTAGTTTTTTTGGAGTCTAAGCTGTTAATAACCTTTAATATATAGCCATTTTTTGCTATCGAAGACACGTATGGATTATTATTTATTGATGTATCTTTACACAAAATACGATAGTTACGATCGTCATAAGAATCGAGTTCTTTTATACTTTCAACGACTAAGCCGTATCGTAATTCTACAAATCGTCTAGCATCATTTTGATTCATTATCGCCTTAATTTGTTGTCCAGGTTTTAATAATATTCCTTCAGTCATGTTTATTTTAAGTGTCTGCTGTTTTCTATCCAACTGATATCTTAAAAACAATGCACCGATTATTTTTTATAAGTATTCGTATATACGCACTTGCTTGTCGCAACGCATTGACGCCACAACTGAGAGGCTGAATGAACGGATATGATTTAATACGACAGGGGACTGTAACAACTAGTTATGAAAAGAGGGCCAGCTAAAACCACTGTAGCCAACTAACCATCGACGACTTCTGGAACATTACAGATTATATCGATGAAATCCAACGTTATGATAAGATAAATAGATAAGCATTGATAACGTTTGTAAAGTTGTTTCGGAATCACTGAAAACATATAGAACGAGGTTGAATATAATAATTGCAATTAATTTCAAAAATAACATCGGACATATGAATGTAATGTTTTAAAATATTTAATAAATACATATACGTACCATTGTACTGTTATACGTACAAAATTGTACATTATACCAAAGTGGGCGTATTTTTCTATACGTCTAAATGAACGTGATGAAATGAAATTTCATCTAATAAGTATAGTCCACATTAAATTTATCTAATTTTTGTTTTGAACTTCAGCGCAATTATGTATCACAATTTTGGAATCTTAATTTCAATATTGGTAATTTTTAAGCATCGTACATAACAGTTTTCACGAATTAAGCATCGATAAATGCTTTGCGTTTTGTATAATTGAATGCAAATTAAACTGTTTTATTAGTCTTGAATTAAAAAATGTTAACCGAATCTCATGGTAGATGGCGCTCTATCTACCGGCGATCAGCTGCTTTCAGTGGCCGTCACCGTCGAGTGTTGTTTTTGCTCGTCGGTTTATACACGAGTGCAAAGATTGCTCGAGATTATTATACTTAAGCAGAATATTTTTCTTGTACTTGTAATAATCAATTCATATAATCTATTTTGTTTCTTGCTCCAAAATTCTTTATAAATCATCACAGGATATGCTCTGTTCTCTGGTTCAAAATTATTACTCTCTGTGTGGATTGTGCGAGTGAGACTTTTTTTAGAAAGTGCTAATACCGTGTAGATACTTTACTTAACGATTCAGAATTTCCAACTAAATTTATTTTAAACACTTTACGAACTGGTGGTATATATATTTTTCTACACTGTTTTATAACTATTAGTATCAATACGATTTTTGACGTGATATCGCCCTTAAAATTAACTCTACTCTATGACGTATGAGAATGGATTGATGTTATCTGACGTTATTACACTGCAGAGGGTGATATAACTTATAATTTCAAAACAACACAAAATGTGAAACATCGCAAAGCATGTGTCAAAGAAGTTTTAGAGCAACCGATAATATTGCGTCAATTTTTGAAACTAGTGCAAGTAAACTTAGGATAACAATTAATAAAAATGATCAGAAGCATATTTTTCATAAGTAGGAGTAATTTATTTTTCCAAAGTAAGAATAATGGAAAAATCCCGCTATTTTATTTGCTTTTCAGTGACAAGAGAACTCTCAATGCACTCTATGGAAGAAGTTTAATGCTAATGCTCAAATAATAAATGTATAATTGTTTTATTAACAAACAAGAGGAAAAGTAAGTTTTATACATAAAAATCATTAATCTCAAAATAAATACTCAAATAATTGATTTTATAAGTTTATATTGATAAAAAAATACAATAATTTCTCAGTGAGCATTGAAACACCAAACAGTTTGGATTACTTTTATTACCCAATAACTAAATCAAAAATTAATGTAAGCGTGAGAGCAGCTCACGATGCAAGAATTTGTTTGAGGACGAATTTGACTGACGATACATTAGACGCGTATGAGGTACAAAATACATCGTACATATTTTTATTAGTGCGGCATATTGTGAATGTTAACTCGTTATACAATGCATTATTGTATAATCACTTTTATTCTTTCAGATTATTATCGGCGGATGCGGTAACAAAAAGTCATTCTTAAAGAATACCAACACAGGACAAATTCTTAAGGAGGTGGAAACTGATTCAATTGTAAGTGAAGAAGAATACAGTTATTTTCAAATCCAGTAAGTAATTTTGAATATTGCAAATTTGTAAAGTGATATCTGAGTATTTGACAGATTTATATTGAAATTAAATTTCTATGTACGTATGTGTGTGTATATGTATTCTTACAGATGGTTTTGTGACGGTTATTTATCAGTAAAATTCGAAAATGAACATTCGCACATTTTTAGTTACCATAACAAAGAACCTTTTCCAATAAATTACATCGGGTTTAGTACAGCTTATGGTGCAACAGGCGAATGGACATTCGACGGTATGAATCAATTTACATGCATATTGAATTGTGTATCGACATTCTTTTATCTATATTGTATTATCTAGAAGGCGAAATGACAGCGGCAGCAGTAAGGCCACAACTATTTGAAATGTACAAAAATTGGATAGACTACGAACCAACGCGAGGACTTCCTTTCGATGCAGTTTCAGGCGATCGTGAAGACGATAGTCTATTTATCGGCCGTAGTCGACATAAAAACTCGCTGACACCAGGCATCATAACAAATTTTATTTGTCGCATCTGTTGGGGTGGACATACCCACGACAAGCGTCAATTTCAGGTGTTGTGCGGTGTCGGTGTTGGTTGGGCAAAATGTTGTAACGGAGCAGTGCCAATGGGTGCTTTGCCTGCTGGTGAAACTGAAAATGGCCTAGCCCTCTTTGTAGGCCGCGTTATTCAAGACGGCCAAGTACTTATTGGTAAAGTTCAACCTAATCATCAAGTTTGTTATGTGCCTGTTAATGGACGGGAAGTAAGCTTTTCTGAGTACTATGTACTCGTCGTTGATGAATTCGCTGCAATCGAATGGGTTGGTAGATGAAAGTATTTTGCGTATTTTGATTATTGAAAGACTCTTGTGAATTTTTGACGCGGCAAAATTATTTTAAAGATGCATCTATTTTTGACAAGTATTTTCGTGTTTCAACATTAGTAAATTGTTTCAGAAGTTACAGATAATTTTATGTATTATAGATAATGTATTTTTTACGACGATTGTGTAAACAATGGATTTTCACATCGACGAAAAGGCATGGATGATATCAAATAAGCACTACCAAAACGTATTATAATCGCTTACCGCCATTATTTCAAGAAATTGAGACTAATTTTATTTATCGTTTGTTCGCGCTGTCTTCATTACAAGCATGAAATTTTACTACGCAATGGTCCTGTCGCTATTGTAATTTCTTTTAATTTATCTTTATAACAAATGCATTTAAAAACTAAAAGATCACTTTGTAATCGAGTGTATGGTATGATTAGAAGGACTTAAAACTTGAATAATTTATTATACACGTAACGAACGTTCTGCTATATAAAAGTAAATTAATTATTCTTAATGTTTTCGTACTTATCGTGCATACAAATTTATGTAAAAGAATAAGAACTTATGTATTTTCATATGCTTTTAAATAAATTTTGTGACTTTTTGGAAAAAAACTAGATATGTCACTTTTTTGAACATTTAAAATTAACGAATAAACAAACGTGCCTTCGATATTCAACTGTATACTTATTAAGATATAGCGTTATGCATAAATGAATACCCTTTTTAATTTAAAATGTTGTTTCTATGAAAGTAAATATATCAATCAATATTTATATTTTCAAATCTATATCTTTTTTTTGCTTGAAAAATGGATTTTAAATAATATTACTTTATTTAATCTTTCAATGTTACGGAAAATATTCAAGTAACAATTTATTTCAATTAGCATTAGGAACATGAATGCATGTAGGAATTTAAATTCATATATGAGTGATTCCATAAAATGTCTAATTCGAGAAAGTTTTATGGAATTTCCGATTGTGTACATGTTGTGTACATGTTTTTGCCCATACCATTTTACTAATCTGTACTATAGACCTAAAGAACCTCAAGTCTATTACGTTTCATTCTTTTCACACTTTTTTAGAAGTGATGTAAATCATTAAAATAAGAAACATGATTTTTCATGACTTTTAAGTGCATATATAATGTATATAGGTAGATATATAGCGTGTGCGTATGTGTACATACTATCAATGATGTGAATAAAAGTTTAATTAGTTATTTGCTCTATTATTCATATTAAGCTTATAAATGTTAATAAGTCACACCGTTCCCAGAAGATAATGTTATGTTTTTTAAAATTCCTCGAAACGTGAAAATATTTACGCAAAAACTACTGTTACAGAATTGTTTGTCTTAATTGGGTTAGGTATATGCATGGTACATTAACTTTTCGATTATTTAGCAATCCTGATCCTGAATTTATCCAATATATCAAACTAATTTTATTAAAAACTGTGGATGTAACTTATTCAGTTTTCTCGAGAAGCTACTGATGTGTACTTATTTGTGAACAGTTGTGCTAACGATTAGGTTTATTTAACAGAATATTTTAGAATTGTTTTGTGTAAAATTTTATTTTAGGTAGTTGCTTTTTAAAAATTATTATAGAGTACATCAATATTAAAAAGACATCTGTTGCTACTATGATTCAACAATTAAATTTAAAAGATTAAGAATAGGCTTTCAAAATATATTATCAAGATCATATTATGCAGTAAAATTACCAATTTTTCGTTAAAGATCGTACAAAAATTACGTGAAAATTTTCAAAAAAAATATATAAATTTCATTACTATCGAATTTAACATTTTTTAACAAAATGATCCGAAACTCTGCAGTCATATGTGTATGTATATATTTACTACGACTTTACAAAGTTTCCAAATTCAAAATATCAGCTGTTTTGCAAAGAATAAGCATTTGATCATGTGACTATAGCAGACTGCAGAGTGCAGACGTATTACTGCGGGACATTGCAAACATCAAGAAATGGCAAACGTCACACCTACATATATATATATATATACATTATAAACAGAAATAATTAAACATACGGTTTTTAATGTTATCGTTGAGAAATTAACTAAGATTAAGTAAATTGTGTCCTTTTAACAAGTTTTTTTGCAATTTTGTTTGAATAACTTTTAGTTTTTTAATAATGTAATAGTGTGAACAGCATTATAGCATAGAAAAATGTTGTTTGAACATTCATAACCTATAAATAGTAGCACCTTCAAATATCAAATTTGAATAATGTATATTTGTTAAATACATGGTAGAACTTTCGTATAAAAAATGACTGAAAACACAAATAATTCATCCAATAAATCGATATTATACGAAGTTTTGGAATATTTTGTTAAAAAGCAGGAACCAGAGATAACAGTAATTGGAATAGCTTCTAATAGTTTCGTTCTTGTATAACTATTAATCGACGTCTTAATTTCAGAAATTCAAAAATGATTCTGTTGTTCTGCCAACGTCCGGCACAATCAAAAATGCCTTACGATACCTCAACAATAGATATTCTTTGCCGGAAACTATTTCACAACAAATCAGTTATACCTTACCTTGGAAGTTTGCGATAGGAGATCAAGGACGAATTCTTGCTATACTACAAGAAAATGTTATTGAAATCCGAAAATCAAAGGATGAATATTCATCTGCTGTTGGAAAAGCATCTGGTAAGTTTTATGATTAATAAAATTAATTAAATAAAGTCAACATGTTTTAAAAAATAAATTCAAAGTACATGTAGACAGTAACAAATAATTTTTTAATTTTTCAGTGCCAAAGGATTCTTTTCCACAATGGAGAAAATTAGTCTGGAGCCCTGATGGTTCAATTTTAGCACTTGCTTCAAGTAATGGCTATATATCTTTCTACAATGCATTTGGCAATAATTTATTTAACATTAGTCCAAAGGCAGTGTCTCAAAATCCACATATACTGGAAGCAGGTGATGCCATAGCATCAATGTTTTTCAAAAAACCTAGAGTCAAAACTGACAAGTGGAATTATGAGTTTATCAGAGTAACATATAGTGGATTACTTAAATCATATTGTATCTCTGGGAGTGAATATGATGAAAACCATGAATTTTCTTTTGGAAACTTTTATAGACATGGAGTTAATTCAGTTGTATATAGTGAAAGACACAACTTATTTTTTGTTGCAGGCAATAATGTAAATCAAAGCTTAACTGTAAGTGTAAATATTAATCATAAAATTAATATTCTTTAAGCCATGATATACATTTTGAATTCATATTCACAACAAATATTCTAAAATTACATTTAAGTATACATTTTTGTAAAATCTAATTTTATTTACAGTGCATAGCTTCTGGAATAGGTTTAACTTGTTGGAGGACACTGAACGATTGTCCATACTATAAACTTTCAGTCACATCTCAAGATAATGATATATACAAGGCTAGCTTCTCTATATGGCAATTCATTCCAATTGTAAAGAATAAAACTCAGCCAATAATATTCAAAATAAGCCTTTCTCCTAATAATCAATTTTTAGTGTGCCTTCATATAGATGGTACAATTTCCATATGGAGTGTACCAGCACTGAAATTACATAAACAATGGAAATTAATGGAGCAACCTAATTATGATACTGTAAATCCATTAAAAACTATTAAGTTGAAGAGATCTATTACTAATATATCAGAATTTCAGCCAATTGATGTAGGATGGTGGTCGGATAATGTAAGTTTAATTAAATAAAATAATAAGAATTTTTTATATAAGTATTCTTTTAATTTACTCTTCTAGGCTGTGATAGTTGCAAGGTACTCGGGTTCAGTTACTGTCTGTTCAGTCAGTCATTTAGAAAATTTACTAGGATGCAGTCCAGAATTTCTATACAATCATCCTCAAATAGAAGAATTAGGTGATATAAAAGGTTTTTTATGCTTAGATTGTGAAGTAATTGTGACTAGTAATAAAAGAACTAGAGAATCTAATAATGATAATCAGATTTCAGGTATTTTCATTTTCAATAATTCAATTCTTTTAATAATCAAAGCTCTGATTCATATATTACCTTTTATATTATAGAACTGTCATCTGACAGTGAAAAAGATGATGATGAGTCAAAGCCACTCACAATTTTGAATTACACAACAAATTTATTACAAAGTGCTTTGTATTCAATAACCGATATTGAGAAATTTCAACCAAAACGAAAGAAATCAAAAGTATTTCATAGAACCTACAGACTTCTAGGACTCAAAAGTACAACACCCGAAGAGCTGTATGCTAGAAAAATTGAACTAGAAGTATATTTATATACTATATTTTATTTTCTTCAATGTATCTTTTTATAAAAAGCCATTTTTAATCACTATTTTATATTTAGGCATATGATGAAGCATTATCACTTGCAAAAACATACAATTTAGATCCTGACTTGGTATATCAAACCCAGTGGAGAAAGTCTGAATTCTCTATAAATGATATTCAAGAACATTTGAGTAAAGTGAGCAAAAGATCATGGGTACTTAATGAATGTGTATCCAGAGTTCCCGAAACATTAGAGGCTACACAAGAATTACTTAATTTTGGCTTGATTGGAGCTAACTTGGAAACATTAGTTGCTATAGGTTTTGAAGATAACGGTAAATTTACTCCTTCAGATTTGGATGATGGCATTGAAATGGATAAAAAAAGCTCTGAATTAAAACAGGTACTTATTATAAGAATTATAATACTACATTATTTTCGCATAGAAATTACCTAAAAACGGTGCTTTTTTTATTTATAGATACAAAAAGTTAATCAAATACTTGAAAACATTTCTAAGGATAATTTAAATGAATCCCAAAAAGAGTTAATTAAGTTAAGAAAAAGACTTCTTAATCATTTAGATAAGCTGCAAACCTTTCAAATTCTTCTGGAGTCACCAACGAAATTTAATAAAAAATTCTATGAAGAATTCAGACAACTATCACCTTTTGAAAATGCTATCAAGTATGGAATATATATTTTTACTATCACTATACTTATTTATAACTGTAAATTGTGCTAAATTATACTGTATTTTAGATTAGCTAAAGAATGTAATCATAGAGGAGTAGAAATTATGTTTACATATTATGGGTCATACTTAATACCTCATTGGCTAACAATCTTGAGCTTTTTTCCTGAGACTTTGAATCCAGAAAAATATCAAAAACTTCTACCACAATGCGACTCTGAAGGTCGTTTATTTTTACTATATCAACAAGAACTACGACCAAAAGATTGGGCTGAAAGAAGTGTGTTTTCAGATATAATTGATATAGAAGGTGATACTACAGAACAAATTTATGAAAACAGAAGTGCACTTTTGGTATACAGGTAAAAGATTTGTATTCTATAGGTCATAATATCGAAAGTATCTTGCATTTGCTTTATTATCCGGATGCATTCTAGGAACAAAGAATATACACAAGATTTATTAAACAAATGGTACACAGATCGAGCATACGAGATCGAACGTGACAGTCGTTTAGTGGACAATGCACTATCTTTGGTGTATATTGGAAAATCTCACAATATTAATCACTTGGAAAAATTATTATTTGAGTTGGAGACTTTAGATGATCTCGTGTACAAAGTTGGACTTGAAGAACTTTCATTAACAAAAGTTGAAAAAATGAGTGATTTTGAAAAAATTAGTCTGTTAATGAAAAATTCTGATGAGAATAATTTTGTTGAGAACATAAAAAGTATGCTTTTGCCTTACTGTAGACGAAAAAAACGTTATTTGGTAAGTATTTTCGTTCATATTAGCGCTCAATTTTTAAAAAATTGATTGCCATTTTTGTCTTAATAAAAAAATTAGATTTTGTTATTTATTCGAATTTTAAAAAGAAATAACTTAGTACATGTTTAATCGTGTATAATGTTTGTTGTAGTTGTACAAATAGTTTTAATAAAATACAATTAGTAGATTACTTAAATTTGAAAAATGTATCTTATTTCCTTTTTCTTAAAGACAAGAATAAGCTAACATCTAATAATTTTTATGATCAACAGGGCAACACATCAGACGATGATTTATTATATGAATATTTAATTCGTTTGAGTACAGACAATCTTTCACTCACTGTTAAATTTTTTGAGTCTTTAAAAATGTCTTTAGATCCTGAAATATTAGATGCTATAAAAAATATAACGACATTGGCCATAGACTGTATTTATGCATGCAGTGACAATGATATGTATTCCAAAGCAAAAGCCATATTTGATGCTACAGTAATTCACTGTGCTGGAAGAGAGGATATTAGTCAAGTATATAAAGATCTAGAAAAAGAATTAAAATGTTTACAAATTCTCAACAAATATGAAGTTAAAGTTCCCTTACATTATATCAGAACAAGTAAAAGAAATACTTTAGATGCTAAAGAACTATTTGTACAATTGAGTGAAAGTTTCATGAACATGTGAGTAATTTTTAATTATTTACTATCACTAATCATAATCAATGTTTTGAAATTAAAAGTCACGTATTTTTTTAGATACCCCATGCCTACAGAGAAAAATTGGTCACAAATACTCAATGATATGCTTGACATTCAAGAACACACGTTTACATGTTTGGAAGTAGAAACTTGCTTTGAAATTTCAATGATAGCAAGATTAAAATCCAGATCAAAAACAGCCATACAAAGTTGTACTAATTTAATGGAATTAACAAAAACAGGACGCTCTCATCTCAAAGTGTCATATGAAGCAGCAATTGACTTTATCATACAAGCCAGTTCTGATTATTTTAATAATTCCAAAAGTCTTATTGATCCTGACATGAATTTGGCTAAGTATATTAAATATTTTATCACATTTAATTTCTTTTCAAGATAACTTTTTAACAATAATTAATTGCAAACTTAATTAATTTCAGAGAATGTCTTCGTTTAGTACCTGATGATAATGGTCGAATTAAAGAAGAATATGATCTCATAGAATCACTAGAAATTTTGAATGAATTTCACATTAGTATTCTACCATTTCAAGTTAGAATGACACGTGACAGAATAAAATTAATTGAAGACTGCTTGAATAGTCGAAATGATGCTTACAAAAACAAACAAAAGTTACTAAATTTGTCAAAATATTTGAGAGTTGAAAATAAAAGTAACCGACTGAGAGAAGGGAAAGTTTTAAACTTGATAGCAAAAAAGTCATTTGAGATGAAAGATTATAATTTTTGTTATACAGTCATAAAACAAATGATCAAAATGAATTACCAAGCAGCATGGAATATAGCATTGGATATGGCTAATTGTGATGAATTCAATGATTTAGCATTTCGTACTCAGTGTATATGGTTTGCCATTCACAATGGACCTAGTGATATGATAGAAAAGTTTATGAAACGTGCTAATTTATTGAAGGTTCAAATGTTCAATGCTGATTTAGAAAAATTGATGCCATTGGAAAATGATCTTTTGTCAGAAGATAATAGAGATGGAGAAGCTGAGAATATAAATATTTACAATTCAGTAAGTTTTTTACTCTGGACATTTTATTTTTTAATAGATTATTCTTTATTTGTTATAAATTACTTTTTAGCTGACTACAGAGAGTAAGGAATTTGTTCCCAAAATTGTTCAAACATCAACTGACATAGTTAAAAGTTCAGCTCAAATAGTAAAAAAATCTACATTTGATCTGATAAAAAATGCAAGCAACACTGAGTTTTGGAAGTCTAAGTTAAACTTTAATTTTGTGGAAAGTACACTAAAAGAGATAAAGACAGATCAGATTATAGAAAAGAAAAGTAGGAAGTTTGTTCAAAAATTTTCTAGTTTTTATGAATCGCTACATGAAAATTGTGATATAAGTAATTTAGACACACAATACTCAAAGTATTCTCAAATTGATTACAATCTTCAACTAAAACTTTGTCAGACCTTATTACGAATTTCTTTATTGAGTGAAAATGCATCATATGGTATAGAAGTTAGTGATGTTAATCATTGTGAGTATTAGATGATGTGCTCATCAGAAATTTAAATTGGTTTAAGGTTCACAATTGTATTATACTAATAAACTTTTATTTTTTAGTGCTTATTCAATGTGCAGAACACACTCTTACAGAAGACTGTATTATGGGGTTGAGTTATTTATTACATTTGGATGACAACTATTTCATGGATGTAATAGATCTATTCGAGAATTTGCCTCAAATAGAGTTGCATCAACAAATGTTAGCCTATTTTTGTTCAATCAAGTTGTATTCAAAGATTCATCCTCAATCATATAAGGTTTTTTTATATGATCCGATTGAATTGATACAGCACATGTCAATGGTAAAAAATGCCGAAACTGATAGTGATAACAAAAAATTGAAGCAAAGGATAAATATTTTGATGCAAGCATTGAAACAAACTCCCAATGAAAGTTCAGTGCTGAAAGTCGAAACTAGGAATGTTGAAAGAGTACGTGAAGCAGAAAAACATTCTATTATCAATAAAGTAAGGAAACCATTAGATTATGCACAAACACATGAAGAAGTAGCATGGAATAATTGGGGTGATGAATGGTCTGATAAGTCTGATAATATTAGATGTGAAGAAGACGAAATTGTATGTACTTCAAATAATGCTTCAGATATTACACTAAAGGATTTCAATGCAGATGACTGGGGAAATGAATGGATTGACATAACCAACGATAAACCTGCAAAGGAACAGCAATTACTTGATTTTAATAATTCATTGAGTGTTATTGAAAAACAATTAGATACAGATGATTGGGGTGATGGTTCAACTAACATACATGAAAATACTAAACACAAAGAAAAGCAGCAGTTACTTATATCTGACATAAGTGATCAGAATTTAGGTATCATGGAAAATGATTTAGATACAGATGTCTGGGGTGAAAAATGGCTTGAAATACCAGAAAATGATAAAGGTGAAGAAAATCAGCAGATATCTGGTATAAATAATTCTGATAACACAAGAAATAATCAATTTGAAGAGGAACAGCAAGTATCTGATTTTAATAATTCTTTGAGCATTTTAGAACAAAAATTAGATACAGATGAGTGGAATGACAATTGTACTGGCATGCCTAACAATTCTAAAGATAAAGAAGAGCAGCAATCATCTATAGCTTGCATAAATAATTCTTTGGGTATAATTGATAAAGATTCAGATGTAGATGGTTGGGCTGATGAATGGTCTGACACAACAATAAATGATAAAGTTGAAGTGGAACAGCAATCATTTGACTTTAATAATTCTTTGAGCATTGCTGGAACGAATCTAGATACAGATGCTTGGAGTAATGAACTAACTGAATTACCAAATGACCCAAGAACAACTAATATACAAGAAACTACTAACACAGAAGCAACTGCTAATATAGAAGAAACTATTTACTTAGAAAAATCTACTAACATGGGAGAAATTATTAATATAAAAGAAACTACTAAACTTGAAGAACTTGTACAGACTGAAAAAAATGTAGTAGATGGTTGGGATGATGAATGGCCGGATTTATCTTTAGATGTCATAAAGAATGAAACAAATGAAACAATTGATCATGATAAATCACTGATTAATATAGAAAGTCATATGCCAACTGAAAAACGCTACGAAATTTTGGTGAAAGAAATTTCAAAAATACAAAATCTTGATGATTGTATGGAAGTTAAAAAGTTATTGCTTAAAACATCATATATGAATGATACTGATCTTGATAATAAGAATCTTACAATTCAATTAATTAGTAAAATGATAGAAATCAATAAAGTGAACAATGTGACTAATGATAGACTGCTACAAGAAATTAAAAACTTTTTACAAGAAGGATTAATTTCAAAAGAAGTAAGATATATCTTTGTATTAATTTGATAACGTAAGCCTGCAGTATTTATAATAGATTTTTTCTAGGTTTTCATTGAGTACTTGAATAATAAAAAAAAAATACTTACTCCGGAACAACTTATATATTTGCAATTATGTTCAAAAGAGCCATCAATTCAACAAACAGCTATAGATTATATCATGACAAATTATAAAGTAATGAAATATCCTTTATTGTTATTCTATTTTGAAGAATAAATAAATAATTACTATTATGTTTTTTACAGACACTTTCATTAAATTCAGTAATCTTTGAAGAAATTTTTTTTTGCAATCTGACATCATTTTTCAGTGTTAGTCATGAGTTGTATTACAAAATTCTCGAAGAAGTTTTTACGAATCGAACATTGCCGGAAATCGAAAGTAATGTGAAATTGTTAGTAGAAAATTTAGTCAAACAGAAGAATATACCCCATGCTATTGCTTTGCAGAATCAGCTTGAGGGTATTCCACCAGCCCTCAGCACATATGAAAACTGTTTCCAACTTTTATTGCGAAAATAAAAGACTAAAGTATATTAAGATATATGATTAAACAAATTTTGTATAAATACATTGCTTTGGTATCAGTTTTTTATTATTTTAAATTGTGCTAAAAGTATATTAGTTCACCAATATTAGTTATAATAAAATGTGTTGTTTTTCATCTTGAATCGACTTGTAAATAATATATAAATATTTAAATTTTATAATGTTATAAAGACCAAAGTAAACATAATTTACAAATACAATATAATCTTTTACTATTTTGTCACATTGCTGAAGATGCTAACTAATGCGTGAAATTCATTGAAATAAAACCGTTAACATTTACCTTTTCTTTGGTTTTCTTTGGTGACATACAAAAACAAAATTATTTGAATATATTCGGTTTCCTTCCGCTCTGTGATTGGTTCAAATGGTATACTCGCCATGAAGAATGTACACAACGTAGTTTTCATGATACACGCGCAGTATTGCAAAAATGGCCGCGATGAGCGTAGCCATTTGCACCGGAGTTGCAATGCAACCACCAGAGACGATAGAGAAGCTCGTCTAAAAGAAATATACTTTTAAATACTCTTTCTGTAAATTTATTGCATTATGTACTGTTTCATGTAGTCTTTTTATACAGTACTGCTTTCAAGTTGAATTTTGTTCCTTGCGATTGTATTTAGAACATCGAGTTGTAATTTAGAAAAGGTAGAGCGGAGTTATACTTTAAAAGTTGCTTACATATCAAAAGTGTTTACAACGTACCGATACAATAGTAGTCGACTTTATTTCTCAGAATTATTTTTAATTAATATTCCAATTCACCAAGGTTTGCCAAAATGTCAGACGGCGAGGATGATTTCATGTGTGAAGAAGAAGAGGATTATGGTTTAGTAAGTTGACTCATAATACTTTGCTTTTACAATCGTATTGTCTGTCTGTGGTCGGTGTACAGGTTAGAAAATTGAATTGCAAAAATGAATCGCATCATGACTTTATCTCTTCCTGTGAAGATTGTTTACTGTTAAAATTTAATTTGAATTAGCTGTTACACAGAAATATATTTGTAGGAGTACTCGGAGGATTCAAATTCTGAACCAGACGTTGATTTAGAGAACCAATATTACAACAGTAAAGCTCTGAAAGAAGATGATCCCAAAGCAGCATTGCAGAGTTTTCAGAAAGTATTGGATTTGGAAGGTGGAGATAAAGGAGAATGGGGATTTAGAGCTCTTAAGCAGATGATAAAAATCAATTTTAAATTGGTATGTAGCAAAAGGAGATGATCAAATGAACTTTTTCCTTATAATCTAATTTACTTATAACAATTCTTTTATTAAACTTATTTCAATTCTTTTTATTACATTTATTTTATTGCAGTGATTTCTTACTTTACAATAATAATGTTGAATTGTTTAAAAATTGTGTATTTTTATTTCAGAATAATTACAAAGAAATGATGTCAAGGTACAAACAGTTGCTTACATATATTAAAAGTGCTGTGACAAGGAATCATTCGGAGAAGTCTATTAATTCTATTTTAGATTACATAAGTACATCCAAAAATGTAAGTATATACTACATTCAAAACTTTCTTATTTATTTTTACATAAATAAATTGAAAATTATTCTTTTTTCACAGATGGAATTATTACAAGATTTTTATGAAACTACGCTGGATGCTCTAAAAGATGCCAAAAATGATAGATTGTGGTTTAAAACGAATACAAAGTTAGGAAAATTGTATTTCGACAGGTCAGATTTTACCAAACTGGCAAAAATATTAAAACAGCTCCATCAGAGTTGTCAGGTAAGGCATAAAATCATTGTGGAAAGATTTTACAAAATATGTAAATTAAAATATTAATAAATAAAAATATTATTTTTCTAGACTGATGATGGTGAAGATGATTTAAAAAAAGGTACTCAACTTCTGGAGATTTATGCACTTGAAATTCAAATGTATACAGCTCAAAAAAACAATAAAAAGCTTAAAACACTGTATGAACAAAGTCTTCATATCAAAAGTGCAATTCCTCATCCTTTAATTATGGGTGTTATAAGAGGTAAACTGTTATTTTTGTTTTGAAATTTTCATTTCCTACTCATATCACAATTCTTAAGTGATTAAATATTCTATTATCATGTGACAGAATGTGGAGGAAAAATGCACTTGAGAGAAGGAGAATTTGAAAGAGCACATACTGACTTTTTTGAAGCATTTAAAAACTATGATGAATCTGGTTCTCCTCGTCGAACAACATGTTTAAAGTATTTAGTTCTTGCAAATATGTTAGTATTTTCAGTATTCATTTAAAGTAACTTCTTAGTTTATATTTGATTGATATAGATTGTATTTTATTTTTTAAGGTTAATGAAATCAGGAATTAATCCCTTTGATTCTCAAGAAGCAAAGCCTTATAAGAATGATCCTGAAATTTTAGCCATGACAAATTTGGTTGTTAGTTATCAGAATAATGATATTAATCAATTTGAACTTATATTGAAACAAAATAGAAACAACATTATGGACGACCCTTTTATTAGAGAACATATTGAAGATTTGCTTAGGAATATTAGGACTCAGGTGAGAATAGTATTCAAAATAAAATTAATATTAATTAAAATATAATGTAATTTTGAACCATGAAAATATCTTATTTCAGGTGCTTATTAAGTTGATAAAACCATATACAAGAATTCATATTCCATTTATTAGCAAAGAACTTAATATTGATGCATCGGAAGTGGAAAGTTTATTAGCATCTTGTATATTGGATAATACAATTCGGGGCAGAATAGATCAAGTAAGCTTAATTATATTTATTAGTATAGACAAATTTTAATGATTTTGTAATAAGATCATTTTCATTAATTTTACTTTAGGTCAATCAAGTCCTGGAATTAGATAGAAAATCAGTGTGTGCTGCTCGCTATAATGCTTTGGATAAGTGGACAACCCAGTTACAATCTTTGCACTTAGCTATTGTAAATAAAATGTCTTAAGATATGATCGCGAATGAAAAAATAAAATTATTTAAGTTTTACAATAAGTCGTGTTTGTAAGTACCGATACGTTAACATCTTTAATACATGGTTATAATAAAGCATACCATAATATTTTGCAATTGTAAAAGTTTTTTTTAATTTTACCTCGCTAATATTTATATAATACCTGTATGTATTTTTGCAAATGATTTTATAGGTTGTACCTGGAACCATTGGGTATAATAATAATAATATTTAAATTCGTAACTATAATTCATTTAGAAAATAAAAATATTAAGAAATCATGAAAAACACCATGTTAATTTTTTTCGCGCTTTGAAGTTGACGTTCATACATCGATAATTACAAAAAATTTTTTTTTCGTTAGTGATAATGAGAGAATGGTTAATGTCAAAGTCAATACACGTAAAACTCTACTTTTTGTAATTTGGTTTTGAAGAAACGTATTTTATTTCTTTCTATAAAAAGTTGTGTGTGACTGACAATAGTAAAAAGGAAAAAAGGAAAACAAATATGGCTTGGTTGTTTTCTACGAAGAAGCTCGAGAATATACATACTGCATTACCGAGTAAGTAAATGATATTTAAAATTTTATAAATTTAAATTTGATTCGCCATAATATTCTAACTAAAAATCATGTATTAGCCTCTGTTTCCTATCGTTAACCTAAAAAATAGGTTTTTAATACTCACAAAAAACCATTATTAATATTTGCTTATAATTTTTGAACTTTTAGACGTAAAGATATGTAAGTAACGTCTGTTTATTCTCATTCTCAATTGTTTGATCGTTGTAACATATTTTTCGATTTTAAATAAACTATATGTGTGTGTGTGTGTGTGTGTGTGTGTGTGTGTGTGTGTGTGTGTGTGTGCGTGCGCGCGCGTGTGTGTGTGTGTGTGTGTGTAACTCTTGCAGTGAAAGTTGTTCGTAAGCATTGTATAATTTAGTATTATCTAATCAAATCTGATGTCAAAAAAAACAAATACAAGCTGAATTTTTTTCAAATTTATGCAAGAAAAAGTTTTACATCTTGGTTTATTGTCAATTATTTTAAAGAACTTGGTTCCAACTTCCATTAGGTAATTTCAACAAAATAGTAAAATGCTTATAAATTACAATGATTTTCGTTTGTGATGATTGGTATTTATTTCATTTTAATAGCTATTATTTAATACTTAAGTAAATAATTGAAGAAATATGAAGATAAATTTATTCTCTCTATATTGCAGGCATTTTAGTGTTATTTTTTATTAAAAAGATTGGATAGAAATTTCATTATTTAAACATTTCAACTACTCGTGGAAAAAATTGCGATTAACCAAACACGCGGCCATTTGTCACGAAAGAACTACTATATATCCTAGAAAGAATATAAAGCTAATAAAATGTATACTTAGGAAGTAGCTGTCCTTTTAGATCAACAGCTCTATCAGTAATAGATTCAAACGCGCAAGCTTTCTCATTCGCGCAGCGACATGGACATAAAAGAAGCAAAGTATCGTACACGTATAAAATAGAAAAATAAAGAATGAAAGCAAAACAAGGTGGATTGCCACGAGCTGTAGGTAGGCAGAAACGCATGTGGCGCATATATAATATATTCGCAGGCAGAGAGAGAGAGAGAGAGAGAGACACGCGGGTAGGCTAATACGTAGCCCTTTTATTCCGTGCGTTCTCATCGTGTCTCTCCTTTTTTGCTGCTGCATTCTCTTTTGTTGGCTTGTCGCATAGTACGCATACGTCGGACACTTTTGTACGTATGTAAGCCTACAAGCAAAAGCTCACCTGTGACATGTGCGTATGTACATAATATAAAAACGCGCTGGTTGGCTTGGATTTGTATAGGTACGTATATTTCGAAGCAACAAGGAGATTCGGCTGGATGGTAAGCAACGAACTCGAGCTCATCGCTTTCTGATCCCCTGGCCACATTCTCTTCGGGTGCTTTCCTTTTTGATCCCACGGGATTAGAGCGAACCTCTGTCCGTGACCGTTTCATTACTCATCCTACCAGCGCATCACCATCCTCTCTCTCACGCTCTTCTTTCCCCGCATTTGCTCGCGTTACAAGCTCGCAAGCTCGCGAGCTTCTGGTTTTCATTTCGTTTGCAGTCTGCACTCGATCCCCCCCCCCTTTTATCTTTCCCTCTTTCCCTCTCTATCTCGCTCTGTTGCAGAGCCCATTTTCTTCGTTCTCATCCTGCGACAACGGCTGTCGCTGTTGCGGCTCTCCATGTTTATGTCTTTGCTCTACCTCTCTCTTTCCCTCGCAGTGCCTGTATTCTTCGTTCTACATTTCTTTACCTTCATGTCCTCTTGTAAATGCACGTTGCGCACTACTTGCGTTATGGGTATGCGCGAGTATCGCTTCGAGCCAGGCGAGCGTGGACTTGCTATTATAAATAATTTTTCAATGTATGCACGTCGCCGAGTTCTGTGTGTGCATCGTCTCTTGCGTTGTTGCTACTGTCATCGTACGGCTCGTTCGCGAGAAGATGAAAATGAGAGTCGAGCTTTTGCGCATTTACACTACCAGTGGATGTTCTAGAAAAATAGTCGTGAGTTGGGCAATTCTTCCGTCACGCTTGTTTATTTGTACTTGATTTGAATGGACTCGACGCGACGTGCCATTTTTTTAATGAAGACGGCAATGTTCCCTCTTTTACGAGCGCGGTTCACTCGTACGCTCATTTGTTCAAGTTTCAAATATGCATATGCATGGCGACTTTATTAAGTAATTTCATTTTGTTAGATAATATGCTGCTCTTCAGATAAAATTTAATTTGGGTCAAAGAACACAATTTTATCGATTCAATATATAAATTAAATTAAGTGATTACCCAATGTCCCGTCATTTGAAAATCAATCAATGAATCGATGAAAAGTGCATTTCTTTGTATTTTTAGAATGTCATATTTAATATCATTTATTTATCGTATTGAAATTGATGACGAAGCTACGCCAAGAGAATTACTTACTTTTGAAATTCGGTTGTTCATTTATATTCACTTTCTCAAAACACTATGTATACGGCAGCATACGAGCGTCGTTTGATAAAAAGCAAAATAATCGCTTGGTGCTTTTCATGTAGTAGTAAAGTAATTTTGATCGTAAACTAGACAAAGTGTCAACTGAAAGCCTCTGATTCATCAGCAGATTTACTTTTCACGTAAAAACAATGTCGTCGCACACGTCAACCTAATTCAATAGGTAGTTACCTACATTCGCAAATAACACAGGCATGGAAAATGCTGAGTATGTAGAGACGAGCAAGGCAAAGGAGAACAAGAAAAGAAACAAGGTAGATGTGCGTGGTATCGATGAAACAAATGCCGTCCGAAGGCGAAACGGTTTTGCATTAGGGTCGAATGGCTTACGCTTCCACGTATTGCATCTACGTACAGGATAGAGGAGAAGGATAACGACTTCAATGCCTTTACTAGCATTATAACTGTACACGTGTATATATATATATATGTGTGTGTGTGTATATATATATATGTACACACGTATGAAATGAAACGAGAAAGGGAGCGAAAGAATTGTCTCTGTTTCTGGCGCAGGTTCGCTATTACACCGACAACGTTGCCGCGCGTGCATCATTACCATTATTGCTGTATATTACATGCTTCGCACTGCGCTGCGCTTGCTTGCGCCTTCTATCTTATTGCGGTAGCTTTGCTCCCCCTGTACGTGGGGAGCTTGATGCAAGCTCGCATGCATATCCGTGCGGTGTTGGGCCAGATATTGACGTGTCTCCGATTATCTATATGCAAATGATTCTTCCTTGATCTTTCTAGATTTCGAAAAACAATTGTTTTCCTTACATTTAGTACACAGCTCGTTTCTCATAGACACGTCACTATGTTTGCAGCATTTTGGATGACATTGTAAACAAGTACTTTTATTAGTTCCACATCAAAGTATTTCCAACTTTTGGTAGTAAACGCCCTATAACTTTTAAGAGGCGAGCACAATGGAATGAACATTTAAAAATTTAATGTATTCTAGCTACACATCGAACGAAACTCTTGGGATAGCCAAGCAAAGTTGCGCTCTCTCGCGTTCAAAGATGCCCGCAACAACGCATGTAATCACCTCCTCTCTGACGGCTATCTATCTACGATCCCACCACTGAATTTCGATGTTGTTTGCTACAGTCTGGACTGCAGTATAAGGCGCGCGTAATCCTGGCCAAAGACGAACTACGCTGTGCTAGTACTTCATGCTGCTCTAACCCGGCAAAGGTATCCGATCGTGTTTAAGCCGAATGAACAAACTGGCGCCTCTGCATGCATAGCTGTGCTTTGATGCCATGGGCTAACGCGCTATACGCGTGCTCTGCGTCCCAACTTTATTGTGTTTACCCGCTGAAGAGAGAGAGAGAGAGAGAGAGAGAGAGAGAGAGAGAGGGAGAGAGAGGGAGAGAGAGAGGGAGAGAGAGAGAGAGACTTTGTGCAATATCGATGGCACCACTTTTTTCCAGTCACTTTGGATCTTTTTGAGTTAACTTCTGCTTTTTTAACGCAGGCTTTTTCCCTTGATCTACGAAATTCGCGTTAATTACTCACGATAATTTTGCTTTCCTAACATGCAATATTAATTTTTCAGAGCTCTAAATGATTATTGGTTTGAACGAAAACTATAATTTCATTGTCAGTGCACTACTGCACTATTATTATATTTGACTTAAAATTAGATACATAGTTCTTCAGTAATGTGCGTGCCGTGGTCAAATGAAGATTACTCGTGGCCTGATATGAATCATCAAATAAAAAAATTGATAAATTCGATATCTCAAACTGATTCGGTGACTAAATACTTTATACAGTTGGTTGATATTTATGGCTATTCGAGTGTTTACTTTTAGCTGCAGTGGAGCTGTGGTTACCTGTCAAGATCATAAAAAAAGAATACAACAAAAGCAAGAAAATTGTCAGCGTTTGGTATCCGTTTATCAAATACAAGTGAAAATTTGATATCGTATCTATAACGAACCGATCGATATAGTTTTTTAAAGCTACATAATAAATGATGCACTGGTTTCGGGTCAACAAACTCGGTGTATAGATGCACATCGCCGTTACTAACAGGTCGTACGTACGTCTGT